AGAGAGGGATAGACATAGAAAGATTGCATTCATCTGGGGGATATAAAGTAACAAAGTATGAGATTAATACCCAAGAATAGCTGAGATCAGCACCAGGAGGATTACTCCATAACTTAGAGGCCAGCCGGGTATCCTAGAGGAAAGGGCAGTTCATATAGAGAAGGGAGCACCAAATAAAGGGTGTTTGGAGGATCTTCCCAGGAGGGGAGATGCATGTCGAAAGTAGACTATGGACTGAACATGTTTGCCACTCAATGCCTCTTTTGCAGACCACAACACCCAAACGGAGAGAGAGAACACAGGGGATTGCCCTGCCACAGAGGCAGGGGGGGATGGGGGGATGAGGGTGGGAGGGATATTATCCATGGTGGTGAAAAACGGGCACTGGTGGAGGGATGGGTATCTGATCATTGTATAATTGAAACCCAAGCACAAAAAAAAATTGTAAATCTACAACTGTAAATAAATAAATAAATAAATAAAGAATGGACAGGCTTGCCTGAGAGGGGTGTAAGGCAGAGACAAGAGACAAGGCCACCTCTCCAAAACTAAAATGATTTGAACAATCTAGTGATAAGAGGACCCCTAGAGCTGGGCATGTAGAATTTTCATTTACTTTATAGTTTTCAGGAGCCCAGATGCTGGGAAAGAGAGCCTCTAAACTCAGGCCATAATTTGCTGCTACTAGGATAGATCTGAAGAATATAATGATGCTCTCTCCCATACGTGGCTTATAAAGAAGCATAGTAGGAGTATAACAAATACCATGTAGGGGCCGGAGAGATAGTACAGAGGGTAGGGTTTGTCTTGCACACAGTCAACCCGAGGTTCAATCTCCAGCACCGCATATGGTTCCCTGAGACCACCAGGAATAATTACTGAGTGCAAAGCCAGGAATAAGCCATGAGCACTGTTGGTGGCCTGAAAATAAACAAACCAAAGCCAAAGGCAACAGAAACTGAGAACTGGTCTTCCGTAGGGAGTTTACCATGAAGGGGGAATGTGAATGACGAGGGACACTGGTACAATGATAGAGGGAATGATTGACCGAACACTCAACACTTGTGGGGGTTATGGGGACGTTTTCTGCATGAAACTCAACCATTTGCTGTTTTGTAAACCATGATGACTAGAATAACTTATTTTAAAAATAAAAATGATGAAATCAAGAACCATTTTCTTGTTCCTGATTTTCTACAAACACTTTCAGTCTCTCAACATGAGTGGACAGTCATTGAAGATATTTTTCATAGCACAGCGGGTAGGGCGTTCGCCTTACACACAGCCAACATGGCCGACCCGAGTTCGATTCCTCCGCCCCTCTTGGAGAGCCCGGCAAGCTACCGAGAGTATCTCGCCCGCACGGCAGAGCCTGGCAAGCTCCCTGTGACGTATTCGATATGCCAAACACAGTTACAGTAACAGTAACAATTGTATTGTATAGCTCTCTGTTCCTGGTTTGTTGAATTTTCTAACCATAAAAGAGTGTTGAATTTTCTGAAATCTTTTCCCTGTATTATTAACGTGATCATGGTCATACATTTGTTTCCCTATATTTGTTATTGTGGGATATTACATTGATTGATTTTCATATATTGGAACATCCTTGCATTCCAGAAATAAATTCCCCTTGGTCACACACACAAACAAAAGGAGTGTAAACAAAACTATTTATGTTCTTGAATGCTTTCATAATCACTTGAATAATAAAGTATATTCATTATAAAAGTTAAGTTTAACGATTAAAAATTTTAAAGAAATAATAAAGGAAAAATGAGAAAAATAATATTTTTGCTAATCACTAGAATAAAATTTCACTATTAAAAGTGAGTTTAACCATTAAAACATTCAAAGAAATACTAAAGAAAAAATAATGGGAAACCAAAAATGATAAATTAGAATATAGACAGTTTTCTGAATGATTAAATCTGAGTTAGTTCTTTGTTTGTGTAGGGGCTATCTCCAGTGGTATTAAGGGCTATTTCCAACTGGGTGCTCTGAGGATTATTCCTTCTGGCATTTGAGGGACCATGAGTTGCTGGAGATTGAATCCAGGGTTCATGCATGCAAACTATTTGCTCCAATCTTTTGAGTTGCCTCTATGGCTTCAGAGTTTACTCTTTTAAACTTTAAAGCAAGGAAACTTAAAAAGGAATACACTTCTAATAGAGATAAGTAAAATATAACACATATAACAATTAAGATTGCAGATATTAAAAGAGCTTGACGTTCATCAGAAATAAGATACCACACAAAATACTATGTTAAGGCTCAATAATGTCAATGAAATTAAATTATCTGGAAAAACAAGTTATTTTAAGGAATAACTTAGGAAGAAGATAATCTAAAGCAATTCTGAAAGAATAATGTTTTTAAAAGTTTGGATCACACGCAGAGGTACTCGTGGCTTACTCCTAGTTCTACACTCTAGGATCACTCCTACCAGGCGCAGCAAGGGAAGTGGGGGGAGGGGTGGCGAAATGAGGGGGCGGGGTAGGGTTGCAAATCAATGCCAGGAATCAAGAAATCAAAACTGGGTGAGTGGCTTCCAGAGCCTCTGTATGGCTATGGCACTCTGTCTCCAAGAATAGTTCTTTTAAAGGAAGGCTGGAAACCAGGGAATTTACTGCTGGATTGTTAAAACTGTGTAAGAATATTCTTATCTATTACTAAGGTTGAAAATTTTCAGATTCATACAAAAACCTAAAAAACAAATATCATACAAAAATCTGGACCAATTCTATTTGAAATGTTGATATTAAAACTTATAAACTTAATTCCAGTATAACATCCACCACAAATAAATACGATCAATAATAGAATTTGGGCTGGAGCGATAGCACAGCTGGTAGGGCGTTTGCCTTGCACACAGCCGACCAGGGTTCGATTCCTCTGCCCCTCTTAGAGAGCCTGGAAAGTTACCGAGAGTATCTCGCCCACATGGGAAAGCCTGGAAATCTCCCCGTGACGTATTCAATGTGCCAAAAACAGTAACATGTCTCACAATTTGTTATGAGATGTTACTGGTGCCTGCTCGAGCAAGTAGATGAACAACGGGAGGACATCGCTAACAGACAGTGCAATTAGAAATTTATTTAGCTATTAAAACCAAACTGTAGGTAAAAAGAAATAATTATATCAGTAGATCATGGGAAAGAATTTGATAAAGTATACCTTTCATTCTTTATTTTATTATTTTTTAAGTTTGAGGCCCACACCCTGTGGTGCTCAGAGGTTACTCCTGGCTCAATTCAGGAATTCTTTTCTTTCTTTCTTTCTTTCTTTCTTTCTTTCTTTCTTTCTTTCTGTTTTTCTTTTTTTTTTTTTTTTGGTTTTTAGGTCACACATGGTGATGCTCAGATCTTACTCTTGGCATTGCACTCAGAAATTACACCTGACAGTGCTCTTGGGATCATACGGAATTCCAGAGATAGAACCCAGGTTGGCATAGCAAGACCAACATCCTACCCACTGTGCTATTCTCCAGCCCCTATAGTCAGGGAGTCTTATAACAATATCTAATCACATATAAAGTCACTAATATTTAATAAGTCATTTATAACCCCATTAGTTTGGTGTTGACCATGTCAAGCACATAAAAAATGATTTGGTAGAAAATGACACCTTGTCAAATATATGTACTAGTAATCACCAGTTAGAAAATAAAATTCAAAAAGTTCTTTTACAACAACATAAAAATTATTCAACCATAGGATTAATTTCTAAAAGTGTAGAATCACATTGAAAACACTAATATTTACTAAAAATGGGCCAGAGAGATAGTATAGCAGACAAAGCATTGGCCTTGCATGCTGCTGACCTGGGTTTGATTCCCAGTACTCCGTTTGGTCTCCTGAGCCCCGAGGAAGTGACTCCTGAGTGCAGAGCCAAGAGCTCATCTGGGTGTGCCCCCTCAAAATAAAACCATATAAAGCATGAGATTTGGCATCTCCTTTAAGGCAAAAGCTAAGTTGTATAAAGAAAGTCTTCTTAATGTATCAAATTTTCATATTTTTTTTTAATTCTGAAAATTTATTGTGGAAGTTATCCAGAAGAATAAGTTCTTAGACAGAACATAAAAGTAAGAAATTTAAGAAAAATAAAAATAAATGAGGGCATACCAATCTTACTAAACTTATAAAACTAAAATTGTTAAAGTATAATGGTAGATCAAAAGCTGGTAAGTATATTGCTGAAACAGAAAACTTAGTCTAAAAAAATTAATTACATTAAAATCAATATACACGTATGAGCATATAAAAATAGAAAGTGTATCTGATAAAATTATGTAAATGAGAAAAGCTATTATATCTGCATAAATATGGTAAAGGTAGTATTACATCCAGTTAAAGAAAAAATAAACTAAAATAGTAAAATCTGCTAGAAATGGCTATGTAGATAAATTAATTCATCTGCACCTTAAACTATAGTCCAAATGTAACATTAGATCAAAATATTTTTAATTTAAAAACCATAAAAATAATAATTTCTATGAGATTTAATGAGAAAATTTTACATTGCATAAAGACAATTGAAAAAGTCACAAAGGAATAAAGAGCTCATACAAATGAGAAAAAATAAAAATCCAGTAGAAAATATGGGTGAATGTATAAGTAGGTAATTTGGGAAAGAACTGATTGATCGAGTAAAAATATGATCATCATCTGTGATCAAAGAAGACACAATGATTACAGTAATCAATCTAGTTTTATAATGCTGCTAGGAGATCAACTCATCCTTGAGTTTGTTCCAAAATATTTTACAAACTAGTTTTACTTATCTGTATGTATTTAAAACAATCATTAATGACTCACATTAGGACAGGATTCAGGTGACCACTCAGTAATGCATGGACTTATCTGTCCATAGACTCTCTCTAATTTCAATTCTTAGTTTTAGACTAAGGCAATTGTTTCCATCTCAGCACCTTACTTCAGACTTGTCTTTCTGAAAAAGTGGAAAATATTCAAAATATTTTGTTTAAAACTTCATATACTTACAGTTTGTGTAGACGGGTTTTCTGAATGGCTTTCCCTTAGAAAAGACAAATGCTAATGTAATGCAGTTGATGGTGGTGATGGGCCATAGTGTGGTACCCTCAAAACTTATCGTTGAACCGGGAATCAAAGTTGCATTTCCAGTCCAGTTTCTTTCCAAACTCATGTTTGTGGAGAAATCACTTTGGTTGATCAGATAACAATCACTACAAAAGAATCACTGGTGTTAAGGGGGTTTTTATTCTATTTTTCTCATGCCTGTGGAAAAAAGCAGGTTAATTCTTCATTATGGTGGGATTATCTATAAATTCTCTCATACATATTTAGTTCTGATTCACAGTTCCTGCCTCACAGCTCTCAAAAGTATTGGAATTTCCTAAATGTTGAAATTAATCAAGCTAACTGTTGTAATGTGAATGAGGAGAGTTTGGGGAAGCATCTAAGGATTGGGGTTTGAGACCTAGAGAGACAATAATTTAATTAGAGGGTTGGAGTTCAAATCTCACCCAGGACCTACAGGGAGGGCCTGGAGATTGAGTTAAATTGCCAAAGGACAATGAAATAAATCAATCAAGCCTGTTTAATGAAGCCTCCACAGAGACCCAAAAGGAGAGGATTTGGGAGCATCCAGGCTGGTGAGCAACTAAGACTCGGCTGGAGAACAGCATTCCTGGAGAAGCATAACAGTTGTGTCCACTCTCCATACTAGCCCCATGAGCCTCTTCCAACGGCTGCTTTTGAATGACAGTCTTTGTAAGAGTAGTAATCTAGTGAATAGATGGTTTTATATGTCACAGTAAGTTGCTCCAGCAAATTTATTATACCTAAGAAGGGGCTTCTAGAAACCTGTTTTGTAATTAGTCACTCAGAAGCGCAGGGGACAACCTAAGCATGTGACAGGCATCTGAAATCTCAGGAAGGTGTGGTGGGAATCTTTAGTTCTGAAACCAGTTGTTTGAAAGCACAGGGAAAATCCAGGGCTTGGGACTGGCACCTGAGGTAGCCAAGGGAGATTGAGCCTCTGACCTGTGGACTCTAGTGCTATCTTTAGGGCATATTAGTGTCACAATATGGAGGGTGGGATTGTTTGGGGCTATACCTGACAGTGTTCAGGGTCTGTGCCTGGCTTTGTGCTCAAGGACTGCTCCCTCAGAGCTTAGGGGACCATGTGGTACATGGGATCAAACTGAGGTTGTCCACGTGCAAGGCGAGTGCCTTTCCCGCCATACTATCTCTCTGGTCCTATATGTTGTCATAACTACGTTGAATTCTCAGATACCCTGTTGGTGTCCAAGAATTATTTGTTGGTATGCAGAAGTCTCTACATTTATATGCTGATAATGATTTAAGGACATAGTTTTGTTTGACATAAATTCCCAGCTTTCCAGTTGTTTCATCCATTAACTACTGGTAACAACAAATTTCATCATAGTTTGCTCATTTCTTACAATGACAAAATGAAACAAAACAAAAATTCAGAAGCAGTCCAGATTGCTCTTCATCTAGATGTCCATGAAAGCTTTCTAACTTGTGTCCTGAGGTTGAATATCCTTACTCTAACCCGCTCTCCTCAGGATCTTTCAAGGATGTGAACATTACTCTCTCCTGCCTATGAATGTCAATAGCTTTGTCAACTCTGGTGTCAATCTTTATGACCTTATCTTTCTCTAGTCTCCCATGAGCCCCTACTCCAACCTATTGGAAAGATTACTTGGTCCTCAGCTATCACAATCTGCACATCTTTGGATGAGTCCTTCTAATGAGAACTTTTGCTTGAAACATCACTGTATCTGAAATTTTATTTTCCTCAGTGATGCATTTAGCTCATTTCTTTGCAACTATTCATTTACATGTTTTTATTTCCTATCGCTGGGATAATCACTTTTGAATATTAATTTTTTGTTTTATTTATTTTTATTAGTTTTATTTTACCAAGGGCTGGAGCAATAGCACAGCAGTAGGGCATTTGCCTTGCATGCAGCCAGCCCGGTCAAACCGGGTTTGATTCCTCCGGCCCTCTCAGAGAGTCCGGCAAGCTACCGAGAGTATCTCGCCCGCACGGCAAAGCCTGGCAATCTCCCCATGACGTATTTGATATGCCAAACACAGTAAGAACAAGTCTCAAAATGGAGACGTTACTGGGCCCGCTTGAGCAAATTGATGAACAACGGGAGGACAGCTTTTGTTTGTTTATTTTACCAAATTCACAACAAATCTTTAGCATCTAGCCAGGTGGGGCCACATAATGTTAGCTCAAAAGAATATTCATGATATGAATTTCCCAGTTTTGATTAATCTTTTTGCAATAATCATTATTTTCAATAATCAAACTCATAAATTGGTTTTGTTGTTAACTTTGAAAATTTTAACTATGTTTTAAATGCTTGTAGATAAGATTTATTTTTCAGCTATGAATTCAAATGCAACACTTAAGTCTTATTATTCCTGGGTCCCTCCAGTTCAGAAATGTTCTTTGCCTGAACAGATGTTCAGTTAATGCTTGCTGGATAAATTGATAAAGAAACAATTAGTAGTCACAAAGCAATCTTGTACAAAGGGGATAGATGGCATGAATTATAACTTAATGCTGAATCTGTGTCTATTCTAATAGTGTATTACATTGCAGATAGGAAAGTTTAAATCTAGTATGGCAGAGCTAGCCAGTGACAGCAGCAAGATAATCCATTGTAGTTTTGGGCTACACTAGTTGTCTCCTAGATGCAATCTTTACTTCTCAGATCTTGCACACTTCGATTTTTTTTTTTTGATGTGTGTGTGGGGGGTGGGGGGTGGAGTTTAGTCTTGAGAATAAAAGAAAACTGAAAAACTAAAATTTACCTGTATTTGTAGACCTCACAATACCAGGGCTGCTGCTTTACACAAAGAAATGCACTGATCTGCACAATGAAGGTGAAACAAGTATTTAAAATGACCGAGAGCAGGAGAGGTGGAGAGAGGAGTTGTCCTGCCGGTCGATATGGCGCCAGCTTTGGGTAGGCATGTGTATAACTCACTGAAAGACAAATGCATTTTCACCTGTTATAAGTCCATGATGGAGAATGCAGAATTGAGATGCATATTATGTCGACTCTCACATTTGGGTTAAGATTCAACTAACATAAATGGACATTTTACAAGGCAAGCACACTTGCACATTCCAAGATACCAGTCTTTGTCTTTTCTGTGCTCTGATTTCCCCTTCAGAAGGAGAGTGTGATATGTTCAGACATTCTAATGTATACATTCAGCTTCTTACATGTGCCCCTGTTTTCTCCACGTTGCATTGACCAGGAATGGTGGGTTAAAGATGAAGACGCCATTCGACATGGAGAAGCAGAAACATCTTACACTAATAAAGGGGAAGTGGAGAGCTGGGGTGATAAAAATAAGGAGGCATCTTGCAAGACTACTCTTTGTATGCCAGGAAGTTTGAAAAAGCATCTTCTATAATTTATCCCCTTAGCATCCTCTGAACATTTAAGTATGCTGGGATAGTCACTGGAACGTTTTCTTAGCATGAAAAAAGAGGACTTTAAGTGAACATTAGACTCCACAAATAAAATAAACCAAAAGAAATCTTATTCCAGATGAGAGAGTTAAAACATTATATGCTTTAATGCAAATTTTGTTTTTAATTTAAAGATGTTGACAATGAACAAAGATTAAACAAATAAGCAATACAAAGCAACACCCCAAAATGACCACATCATTCTTAGAAACTGCATGTTCTAATAAGATGATAATTTCTTCATCAGAGCAGAGAAGTGTGATGAGGCCAGGAATTAAATATATTACGTTTCAAGACTTGAACCATAGCCATGTTTTAGTAATTATTTTCTCATCTGTCAACATCTTCCTTTATTAAAGCTTATTGTTGGTCTGTGTTGTAAGGGAAAAAAGCAGAATGTGTATGTTTAAAATTGTGCTTCTGCTTCTAGATACAGAGCATTGAGGAGCAAGGGTCGAGCTAGGGAAAATTAAAACTAAAGTGTGTCTCAGTTTGCTCAATGCGTGCTCTTTATTAATCACATAAAGCCTCTAATTCTTCATTTTTTTTTGCATGTGTAGTAGAATGAATGTGTTGGAGTATTTAAAAGGTCTCTAAAGGTTTTTTAAACTCATTCATTCTAAAACTTTATTACTATCTAAGGCCTTGTAATCAAATAACCAAAACTTTATACAACTTTATGCTCCACTTCCTTCTCCCCAAGACCAAAATGAAATCACTAGGATGAAGCAAAGAAACCTTGGCTAGGGCTTATTTTTCAGATGATGTGACAACTTCTTTTTGAGAACAACTACACTGTAACATTATTAAGTCTAAGTAGCACTAGGCTCTGCTTAGATCAACACAGAGCCTTAAAATACCTTGGTAATTATAAGGATCCCAGATAGAACTGGCGAGTGGAGACTGTGCACTGAGAAGACTTCATTCACCCCGTCGCCTGCTTCCTTTCATTATCATACTAAAAGCCTTGCTCTAGATCACCTTGTCCTTCACCCTTTCCTAGACAGGCAATGGGTGATATTATCTGTTCACTTGTATATTCCTCAAATGTGCATGCCTGCTCTTCCCCTCATACATATGCATGATTTTCTCAGGAAGTTTTATAGGTATGGATAGACTGTTACATCATCTTAACACTACTTGACACTATGGCAAATACTCCCTTTGCCCTATCTGAAGCTTACTTTACAGTCTGGGCAGGCCAGACTCCCTTCCCAACTTAAAAGTTGTTTTCTTGCCAATAAAGCTCCTCTTTTTCAATCGAGCTGTTTCTGTGATTTTTTTGCAAAGGACATTTCATCTGTTCTCAAAGAGCTTGAAGTTCAGCGCAAGACACAGATGGGCTGTGTGATAAAGAATTTATGTGAGGGCTGGGTGAAGCTCCAAAGCACATGTGTAGCATATGTGATGCCTGATTTCATTCTATGGTCCCCCTAGCACTGCTGGGTTTAACTCTGGTGGTGATGTCAAGCATTCCCAGAATTAATTATCACCTTGCTTGAGCAGAGCACCAAATAGGACCCTACCAGGCCTTCACCATCACACAAAGAGTGGCCACAGACCACTCTTTAACATCTCTGGGGATGAGCCTGAATTAGAAAAAAATAATTGATTTCACCTTTTTGACTCCTGGAAGTTTTCTCCAAACCACTGGCACAAAGAATGCAGTTGGCCTTGGGAACTCCTTGGAATTTCCTTAGTTGATTAGACTGTTTCTGTTATGTATAGAGTCCTAGTAGTTTATGCTAGTAGAATGACTGTGGGTGAGCCTGAAGATCATTTGTGCTAATGAGATGACTCAGTATGAGGCTGGTCATGCCAAGTTACAGGCTCTATGAGTAGAAGGTTGGGACTTTGAGTCAAATGGTATCAATCGAACATTCAGAGATAGGATGGGAGCTAGAGCTTGAGTTCATAATCATGGTCAATGAGCCAATCAAGTATGCCTTCACAATGGGTTTTTATGTGATAAAAGTTCAGTACAGTATCTGTGTTTTGCAAACCTCTGCATTAGTGTCACACATTGATGTGCAGAGTAGGAGGCAAACTACTTCCCTATGGAGGGGAGAATAGAAGAGACACATTTAGGACCTTCCCAGGCCTTGTTCTATGAAAGTCTTATGGGCTGATTCTGATTTATATCCTTTTGTTATACTGTAAAAGGTCTTTGCCATATTTTTCTATGCTGTAAAGTTGTAATTGTATACATAATACTTTCCTGAGTTCTTTGAGTTGTTGCACATATTGAACCGAAGGGAACAGCTTAACCTCTTGTAGTGTAGGTGGCACGGAAACCTCTAAAGTTGCAACTGATATTTGAAGTGCGGGAATTGTTTGGGGGATATGTCCTTCACCTGTGAAGTAGGACCTCTCTCAGCAGTTAGGAACAGAAGTCATTATGTGGGCACACAAGGAAAGGGCATACAATGTGAAATGTGATCTACTCTGATGACAATTCGACAACGTAGACTGTGGTTAACTCAGGAGTCAGAAACTTCAGTCACTGGCATTTCCTTTGGCCCCAGTCAAGGTAGAATGTGACCACAGAGTTCATAAAAGGGGCTGGGTAGCAGAGAGAAAGGATAATTGTGTGTCTATGTATCTGGCTTCTTGATTTTTGTTTTTGGTCTTCTCTTTATCATGTGATTATTGTATTTTCTGGCGTTTTCTTTCTTTTTTTGTATAAACTAGGAGTACTGCTATTTATTCAGCCATTGATTATGCTGATTGAATTTCTGGAATGTTTTTTTCCCCCACGGGGTCTGTGGAAAGTTAAATTATTGGTCTCATCGCCATTGTCTGTACTTTATGACTGTTGAATTTGGGCTTTAACTAGGTGATTTTCTCTAGTCAAAGAGATGCTAACTGAGGGTAGAGGTCTTTTTGTCCCATTGGATTTACTCTGCAGCTCAGTTCTCAGATCTGTCATGAGAGTAGGTTGGGTCTATTCATTCAGCCTAATATAAGAATGAAAGACAGGCAGTCTGGAATCACTCATGATCTTGACCAAGACTCAGTGACACGCATTCTAAAGTAGAGTGACCCAGAGGAACTCACCTAGATCAGCTGAACAATGGTCAACTTAAAAAGTCATAAGAAGAAATCACCCAACCCCATCAAAAAATGGGGCGAGGAAATGAACAGAAACTTTCGCAAAGAAGAAATCTGAATGGCAAAAAGGCACATGAGAAAATGCTCTACATCACTAATCATCAGAGAGATGAAGGTCAAAACAACAATAAGATATCATTTCACACCACAGAGACTGGCCCACATCCACAAGAACAAAAGCAACCAGTGCTGGCGCGGATGTGGCGAGAAAGGGACCCTCCTTCACTGCTGGTGGGAATGCCGGCTGGTCCAACCCTTTTGGAAAACAGTATGGACGATTCTAAAAAAATTAGAATTTGATCTCCCACTTGACCCAGCAATAGCACTCCTGGGAATATACCCCAAAGAGGCAAAAAGGTATAGTCGAAGTGACATCTGCAATTGCCTGTTTATTGCAGCACTCTTTACAATAGCCAGAATCTGGAAAAAACCCGAGTGCCCGAGAACAGATGACTGGTTAAAGAAACTTTGGTACATTTACACAATGGAGTACTATGTAGCTGTTAGAAAAGATGAAGTTATGAAATTTACATACAAGTGGTACTACATGGAAAGTATCATGTTAAGTGAAATGAGTCAGAAAGAGCGGGATAGACACAGAAAGATTGCATTCATCTGGAGAACATAAAGCAACAAAATGGGAGACTAATACCCAGGAATGGCTGAGATTAGTGCCAGGAATTTTGTTCCATGACTTGGAGGCTGGCCACACGTGCTAGGTGAAAAGGAATCTCAGATAGAGAAGAGAGCACCAAATAAAGGGTGTTGTGAGGATCCTCCCAGGGTGGGAGAAGCATGCTGAAAGTAGACTATAGACCAAACATGATTGCCACTCAATGCCTCTCTTGCAAAACACAGTACCCAAAAGAAGAGAGACAGAACAAGGGGGAATGCCCTGCCACAGAGAGAGGGTAGGATGGGGAGGGGGGGGAGGGATGCTGGGACCCGTGGTGGTGGAGGATGGGCACTGGTGGAGGGATGGGTACTTGATCATTGTATAACTGAAACCCAAGCACAAAAATTTATAAGTCTATAACTGTACCTCATGGTGTTTCACTGATAAAAAAATTTAAACTATTTTTTAAAAAGTCATAAGTGGGTGTTATTAGGCACTGAATGTTGGAAAATAGCTTGTTATTTGTGCCAATAGCTGATTTTACAGAAGAATCTTCACATAAAAATATTTCAATTTTAAGAAAACATAGATTTATAACATTTTCTCACAAGAAAAGACATACCTTATAATAAATAAATTATTATTTTAAGGTTTCTAATGGGTTTCAGCGGCTAAGTGTTATGCGAGTAGTATCTTTGTTTCTATTAAAAAGCAAATAAAATAAGTATTTTTAAACTCATATTGTCGTGAAAAGAAATTGAGGTTCAGAGACACAGACTCCCTTGCAAAAGTTCCACAGTTAGTGAATGATAGTGCGGTGATATCAACTCAAATCTGTTTGATTGCAAAGCCCCATGTTCTCTGTACTGTAGTATATTGAAATGGTGTGAATCTCGTGAATTAAAAAGAATGAAATAAGATGATCTGAAATATGAGCTTGGACAGAAGTGCTGTTTATCAACAGCAAGAAGAACCTTTCTGAATTGTCCAGATTTTCTAAAAATGATGATGATATATGCTATCAGATTGTGTGCAGAGGAATGAAAATTTGTGAAGTATTATATTTTACCAGAATTAATCATTCCCTCCTCTGAGTTTCTACAGCACATTACTCATATTCATGCTCAAGTCCAAAGTGTCTTGCATTAAATCTAGTTGTTTACATATGCATTCTGTAGACTGTGAGTTCCCTGAAGGAAGAAATCCTGTCTCATTTCACTTTCTGTCCCTTACTGAACAGAGGATGGGGCCTGAGGTCTGAGCAGATTTATCAGTTTCAAACTGTTCCCTCAAAACAGAGTTTTTAATTGTTTCAGTATCCTCTGGATATAACATAACCTTGCTTCTTCTAAGTAGTTGGCAGAATTTATAGTAAGGGTGCATTAAGCCATGTAAGTCAAATTTCATGAGACTCATAAACCTATTTCAAGTATTTGCAAAATTCTAAGTGTTGATCATGAGAGTTTGTTGAGAAATCTCTATCATCAGATGCTTTAAGGTGAATAAAGACTCAGAAGAGTTAGGAGTCACTGACTCACTACAAGAAATTAGGTAAAAAATACAAAGGTCTCTAATGGATGCATTCCTTCCTTCAACCTCATCAAGATATTGCCTTCTTCCAGATGGCCTAAATAGAGAGAAATTATGAGACTCCATCTTCTTCATAGAAATTCTTGTGGGACAAGGGTGGGCATCATTTAAAAGTTAGATAAAAAAAATGTTCTCTCCAAAAGATTTTCAAATAAGACACTGAGAAGCTGAGCTGATCAGCCAAAAGTAAGACAAGCATAAAGGTTAAAGAGACTTAATAGTTGAGTCACCCTTTATGGTTACTTGCAAGGTGAATGAGTAAAAGACAGATAGAAACAATGAGAACAGAAAGAAAAAGAAAAAGTCATCAGAGCTTCTCAGATTCCCAATTTTTGATCTAATTTGAGTATATCTTGTTGGGGAAATCAGATGTAGCTAGAAGAAATTTCTTTCTAGTTGACTTTTCTACATATGTGAGGTAAATTAGACTGCAAGACATACATTTTCCCATTTGACTTACCCAATTTCACCTCGTCTTCTTGATTTTCCCTTTAACATGTTATATTGTGTTTTAGCTGGCTGATTTTGTATAATCTCTTAAAATTTTATGGGAACAAGCCAGAGTGCATACAAATGAACAAGTGAATGTATAAATTAAACATGTGATGGCATTGTCTAATCCCAGGCTAACTCAGGAGAATCTTGAGTTTGGAACCTGGAAATGCAAACATTTGGATAAGATTGTTTGATTTTCAGTTCTACCATCTGCAGCGGGAAGTTCACAGATCTGAAGCTGGCAGTTAAGAGTCCATGATATAAACCAACAAACTTACCTTTTCAAATTTTAAGTCTTGGTGTCTTGGTATTTCTTTGCACATGCCCTACAAAGTGCTGAAGTTGGAAAACACATGCCTTTTATTTATCAGGCTCTCACTCCTGCTGCTTTCCTCTACATGAAAATTTGTCTGAATTTAGTTTCCTGGTGGTAACTTGCACTTGTCAGGAAAGAACTAAAGTCACACACTTAAGAAGCCTACTGCTCTGAAGCTCCAGTTCCCGGAAGTAGGCAACCCCAAGCAGGCAACAAGTAATGTAGAGAGGATGCTTTCTCTACCATTGTTTGCTCCAAGCCACTGTCCAGACTTTATCAGAAGAAAGAATGGAATTGTATGTAGACATGAAATATGGACTTTTTCTATCTAAAGATGAGATTGTTTTAATGAATCAAACTGACCAGAAAATGTTCTTCCTGGACAGAACTTGTAGTAAAGGAAAGTAAAAGTGCTCAGAGGCAGAAGGCAAAAAACAAACACCCAGAAATGGTTGTTTATATATTACCATCACTAATGTACTCGCCACATACTGCATCAATACCCTTATGTTCATGCATAGTTGGATAAATTACTCTCATTTTAACTGAGCATTATTCTTTTATCCCTTTTCTGAGACTTTTGTTCCCATTATGTAATCTTGAGTTATTCTCTCTCTCTCTCTCTCTCTCTCTCTCTCTCTCTCTCTCTCTCTCTGTGTGTGTGTGTGTGTGAACTCTAAGAGGAGAAGCAAAATTTCATAGGATGACCCTGTAGCATTTGTATCAATTGGCAATTGTCACAGTGAAAGTAAACACATCGGGATGGGAGTCAGATTCATGACCACTATCATGGAATCAAGTAAAAGTTCAAAATGATGAACTCAAAGTCATCCAACAATTCTTAGGCGGGGACTATCCCCCATGGTCAGTCTATTGTACACAGTGTAATCGTCTCCAAGAAATTACCAATTTATGCAGCCACCTCAAAAGAAGTGAGAAACAGAATAGAAACAGAGAGTATTCATCTTATAACGAGAGCTTAGAGTGTGCAATGGAGTGTGTGTACATTCTGCATGCTTTGCTTTACCAGATTTTCCCAATCCTGTGAGAATATTTCACATAAAATTTTCCAAAGGTTTCAGAAATGGTGGATAATAGAGTACAACCACAACCTTCACCCACATGCGACTGGCTGTTAACATAATTCTTGGGATCTTTGGGTGTTCTTTTTCTTTTTTAGCATCACTATGTTCACAAGTAATTCATGCAAACTTCTTAGAAATATGCAACATTATAAAGTCATTATTATTGTACTATCATTACAAAACTATCTGGTCATGTGAATATTAATAACATGTAAAATATTTCAATGGGTTATAAATAGATATTTCAACTCCAAGAATCAAAATTGATGTCACTTGTATCTCTGTTACTGGTAAATTTTGTCATTGGGTTGATATAATAAATGACTGTAATATTGGTTTCATGTTTTAAGATGCTACATGAAATTTTCAAAGTTATTAATATCCAGCATTGCCTGATGGTTTATCTGTTATTTTTCATAACACTCCCATGTTGAACAAGGAGAGACAACTCTCCCATTCTTTTTCTTTGCTCCTGGTTGAGGCAGTAAACTTTCTCACTTATTAAGAGTGCTATCAAGTCCTGAGTTCTTTGATAGGTAATACTTTATAAGTGCCATCTGAAAGAAAGAAATGAGCAATAACCCTTGCAATCCACATCTTGCTTTTGAGAGAATTGCACTAGAATAAAATGCTAACATTTTTCTCTCACACATCAAAGACCTAACAAAAGTTAGGTTTCCCCTTGATGCAAGGCATACCGAATAATAGAAAGTAACTTTTAGGTATTAATTTTTTCATTTCTAGATTCTAGTACCTTTTTCTGTATACAAGACTTAACTCTATAAAGAAATCTGATGACATTATATGAGGTTAAAGTCCATTTTTCTATTTTTATATTTTACTATCAAACATGAGGATTACCCATGCCTCAACTTACTTCCCAATAATTATGTCAAAAATGCATGGATAGTGAGCTTTGGTAGATAAGATGCATCTTTATAAGACATTTTTATTTGTGTATTTATAGAATTGCATAGATAAATATTAAGAATAGTTTAGTTTACTAAAGATCTTACTTGTTAAGCAGACCATCAAGGTGATGGCTATGTCTTGCATAAGATACTGGTAATTCCCAAAGAGTTGTAGTTGCTGAAAAGGTAAAGAAAGAAAATGTAAGTAACTTCTGCCATTACATCATTTTAATCATTCCCAGCTTTCTTGTTAGAAACAACAAAGCAAAAAAACAACCATTACTTTTTTCTCCACTTTAGGGAGAAAATAAACACATCAAGAAATATAACATATCATTGGCTAGAATAAAATCAAGACTTAACTTACTTTCATATTAGCAAGGAGAATCACTCCATATTTGTAGTGTGAGTTAGTTGGGAAACACCATTCAAACAAATCCCTACCTAAAATTTTATATAGGTTAATTCTCACAATTTAAGATCCTAAACTGTGACGTTTTTCTTGGAACTTCCAATTTGAAAGTCAGAGCCTCAAATTGTCCACCAGACATTCCTTTCTCTCCTTCTCCAAGGATCAAATTCTCAGTATTGTCTTGGAATCCAGCTACTTTCACAAATGAAACAAGTGCTACTATTCCAGGTAAGACCTCTGTAGACTTTGGTCTGGTACACCTGCTCCTTTCTAAAGCTTCTGTAGATGTAGCTTCGGGGTAGAACACTCATCTTAAATGTGTGTGTGTGTCTGTCCGGGTTCAGTCCTTGAAACTACAGAGAGACACATAAACGTTTGTGTAGACACAGTGCTTTCAAAAGTTTATGCTTATGGCACTGAAGTCTTTAAAGACTCAAATCATTCCTCTCTGAGAACTTGTCTTGTAACCAAGGCTGTCTAAAATGCTTCAGAGTTGCTGGCTGATAATCAAATTAGATTCTTAGTATATTATAGATCAGATGTCTGAAAATTAATGAAAAATATTTCCAACATCTTAGGGTAAAATCAAGGCCCAGGCGTTTCTAGGTAAAATCTCTGGGATACAGTCTATTCAGGTTTAGTCTTATTTAGTATCTGAGTAAACGACTTGAGTATGTACTATAGTTACATTTCTATATGTAAGACTTTGGAACTCAAGTTCACCTTTCAAAATTTTTATAAGTGTGAGAGATAAGACAACAGGCAAAGTGTTTGCTTTGCACAAAATTCATCTGGGTTTAATGTCTAGGACCCCATATGTCCCTGGAGTACACCAAAAATGATCCCTGAGTTCAGAGCCAGAAGTACTGAGCACAACTGGTATGGCCCCAAAACAAAACAAATTTTTGATATGCTGCAAATTGTCTCACAGTATCCCTTGTGGCCACCATTTCTTCCTCTGTCTTCTTTACTTCCTTTTTCATATTCTTTTCCTCCCAGAGTGGTAAAAGTATATATGTTCAAGGTGAGAGGGAGATACTCTTACAGATGGTTTCATTTTCATTCTCGGAATAGCCTTCACACAACCATGAAAATCTTTGAAAATCAGTCAGTCTGACTTACCAGACAGAAAGAAAGATTTTGGCAAAGGACAAGACGTCATCTAGAGATAGAGCTTGAATCTAGATTTATTAACTCCTTGTCCTGTTCATATTTCCAGTTCTTATTTCTGGCCACCTAGCTACCCATTCCTCCTGTGTATAATTCCAGATGATATCATTATCTCACTCACCACTAAATAGATGAATCATAAATCGATCCTCTCAATTATTTAATTATACATCACTCATTCATTTTCTCAGAACGTATTCTTGGAGCCTGTTGGATTACTTTACAGTGGATTGAATTATAACTGAACTAATGGTAATTACTTTGTATCCATACTTATTTCTCCATACAGCTAATTAATTCTTAAATGAGTATTTTATCAAATAATTTAACGTCCTTTTTAAAAAAATAGCTAATTTTTATTAATGATATATCTAAGTGTGCAATTTCTATGTACTTTTAGAAGCCAAACTCCATGGTGTAGTTTATTTGTTTGTTTGTTTTTCACAGCTTATTAGTTCTTTACTATCAAATTCAACAACTTCTTTCTTTTTATCTCTTCTTAGTCTTTTGTCAAAAATATTCCACAGTTGGACTGATCCACTTCCGACTGAGGTATGTTTAGGCTACACTGAAGCTTTTCATACTCCAAGTGAAGAAACAGACACTTGAAGAAGTCAAGTGCTCGAGGTTATCAAGAGAAAGTAACACTCCTAGAAAAACTGCCTCACCTCTCTTCACTTCTAGCCCCACGTTTCATATACAATTATACTGTATCCCCAACTTTGCAGACATCTATTTTCAGAAATGTCTTTTATTATAAAACGTTAAACCCTCTGAAGGAACTGCACCTCAAAGAATAAACCAGGACAAATATGCAATTAGAACTGGGCAAGAAATTAATTTGGTTCATACCCAGTAGAGAAGTGATGTACCACAAAACTGGATTATGCCATACATGGTCAGGTATTTAAATACCCCAAAGGATGAAACCAGAGCTGCTCGGCCTTCTCTGCACACCAAAAACATAAAAATATCTGGTTAGATATAATATGCATCTCCCAGGCTCTTTTATATTTCAAAAGAAGTTCAATTTTTAATAGTCTGTTGATACACATTCATCTAATCATGGATTCATCCTCTCAATTATTTAACTATACACTCACTCATCTATTTTCTCCTTGAATCATTACTTTACTCATTGATTTATATACTCACATTTATTTGGGGCTTCTGAGGCACCAGTACTGAGTCATGGAGGATATTAACTGAATTAGGCACCATCCTTATTTTCAACAAGTTTTCAGTGAATTAAGAGGATTAGCATGTATATTACAAACACAATACAGCATTACAATTGGGTGCAAAATGTCATGAGTTGGCTTGCCTGTGACTCGTTAAATCCTAATAATACTTGCTTCATGAGAATTATAGTGTGTGTATGTGTATATGTGTGTGTGTGAGAGAGAGAGAGAGAGAGAGAGAGAGAGAGAGAGAGAGAGAGAGAGAGAGAGAGAAACCATTAGAGAATAAAACAAAGGGACAAATGTTCTTACATTTTGGAAAATGTGTATATGACTCCAATATTTTAAATAAAATGGGTTCTTTTGACATCAGTGAGGCAAGAAAAATTTTGGGTAGATTAAAAGGGATAAATACAAGAGTAGAAACTATTAAGCTTAACCAGTAAATATTATTCCTTTAAAAAATTCCATTTGAGTTGTCAGTCCTTGAACTTAAACATGATTGGGTGGTAGATTAGAACAGGCCAAAAAAGACAGCATGAGAAGTAATTTCTAAGAAGGGAGCAGGGGGCATGGCAAATAAGTTTCTTCTTCTCAAGGCAGAAGTGATTCTACCTGGCAGCTTGCATATTCTTTGTGTCCAGTCCCTGGTTATTTGGATGTTTAGCTGCTCAAAGACTTTGTCAATAGGGCAAGAATATGAGAAGAAAAGCCTAAAACAGCCAAACTAATAACACTTCGCTCAGGCACCTCAAAAAGTTTAGGTAGGAAATGAGCCACGATGCTCCGGGCAGATCTTTTCCATCAGGCCATGGAAGCACTATCATTTGTTTTCAATCCAGAGGGTAGAGCAGAAGACGGAGAAGGGGTGAGGCATAGCTGTATCTCATTTTTTATACTTGTGTAAATGAATACACCAGGTTCAAAGGAAAGTGAAAAAAATCCACATATAAAGAATCTTGGGCTGGAGCGATAGCACAGTGGAAGGGCGTTTGCCTTGCACGCAGCCAACATGGCCGACCTGAGTTCGATTCCTCCGCCCCTCTCGGAGAGCCTGACAAGCTACCAAGAGTATCTCGCCCGCATGGCAGAGCCTGACAAGCTCCCCGTGACGTATTCGATATGCCAGACACAGTAAAAACAAAGTCTCCAATGGAGATGTTACTGGGCCCGCTCGAGCAAATCGACGAACAACGGGAGGGCCTTTACCTTTACCTTTTATAAAGAATCTTGAATGACACCCCGGACCCCATGACTACTTCTTCTAATGATTACCAACCTCAAATACCTCACTCATTCTTTATACATTCCACAAACATCCATCAAATACGCAGATGAACACAGCTCAGAGATGGAGACAGTAACATAGAAGTAAATAAGGTAGCATCCTTTCCCTAATAGACTGGAACCATAATGAGAAATCAATCATGTTTCTGGGGATAAAAATGAAAACTCATGGATCAGAACCTGCGTATCTAAAATCACATCTTCTCACTCCTCAAGAGAATATTTGCTCAGGAATAAACATGCATCAAGGATAGACAGGCAAAATGAGCCTAGCAGAGCTGAACCATATCTAATTTTTATGAATCTATGAAATATAAAAGCAAAGAATTTCTACCCTGAAGTCTTACTAAACCATCTGCCACTAGAGAAATTTTGCATTATGCCTTGTATTTCAAAACTGTGCACTGCACTTATAAATGTGGAGGGCCACATGTGACAGAAAGAGTAGCTAAAGTTCAAATGTCTTCTGGATAGATTCAAGCAGGCGCTTTGTGCAACCAGGCAGGAGATTGTGGGGCCTTCACCACTAGCACTTCAATCTCCGCAACTCTGCTCTGAAAAGCCTTCCAGCACAGCTGGCCTCTTGGTACCCTAAAGACTTATATTTCTGATGAAAAATGAGAATCCAGGGAGGGGAGGGAGCTTTCCTGGGAAAATAAATTGATCTTCATTGTGTGCTCTCCCTCAACCATTGCCAATCAATTGCAGAAGAGTTTTAGTCATCTTTTTGGAGATTTGCTAATTTTTAGTTTGGGATCCTCATCATTTGGAGGTGATTATCTGATGGAGTTAAACTGCCCCTTTCAGGGCTGGAGCAATAGCACAGTGGGTAGGGTGTTTGGCTTGCATGCGGCTGACCCAGGTTCGATTGATTCCCAGCATCCCATATGATCTCCCGAGCTCTGCCAGGAGTAATTGCTGAGTGCATGATCCAGGAGTAACCTGTATGCATCGCTGGGTGTGACCCAAAAAAGCAAAAAAGAATTCCAAAAACCACAACAACAACAATAAAAAAAAAACACCCCTTTCTGCTTCCTCACCTATTCACAAGTCCAGGATGCTTCCGTCATACAGAATAACGAAGAGGAAAGGTAAGAAATACAATCCATTTTGAAACATCATCTTGAGGTTTCAACTGTCTACATAATTTCTGGTCCATTTATCCTTTATGTCATAGCAAAAGTCACTTTGTGTCACTTTCCCCAGCATTACCAAATGGTACTCATAGTCCCTTTAAGTGGGTACTCAATCCTCCAATAGCACTGTTGCGACATTTACCTCTTCTAGTTCAATTCTCTCTGTTCTCACAGGCAGAGAAGCAGTTGTGTGCTTTGGGGATGGAGCGGGATTGGGGAAAGTGAATTACCTGATGAGATGAGGCACACACTTGATGTTGGCTGTTTTTGAGGTGAAAGGGGATGCCACAGAAGCCTCCTGCTCTGACAGTGAGATGCCAGCATGAGCCATTTTCAAAGCCTGGAACAGTAAATCCATGTTACTCACATGATTCCCCAGACCACGCCATAACTATTCAAATGCCGTGAGGCCTGTTCTTTAGTTTATGGAAAGTTCCCTACACCTTTCCACCCCTGTGTCTCACCCCTCTATCTGAAAACTCCTCCTCCTGATCCACAAAGTTAACTAAAGAGTCACCAACTGAACAAGGATTGAAGAGTACAGTGTGTGTGTGTGTGTGTGTGTGTGTGTGTGTGTGTGTGTGTGTGTGGTGGCGGCAGGGTGTGTGGCATTGAGGAACAGGGAATGAGTCTATTGGTTACAGAGTTGGATAACGTGAAAATAAAAGCACTGCTTTAATAAACTTATTAACAAGGTAACAACTCTCGTAATTCTTATAGTTAGCAAATCAAAATCATGAGCCACGAGAAAAGATATTTTCCCTCATTTTCCCCTCACCACCCAACAACTAATCCTCATTTTTTCCTCACCACCCAACAAACTAACCTGTGAAATGAAGTATCTTCCCAGAGAATCTTCACTGGAGCTAAGGATTAGATCATACTTAAAGACTTGTAGAACATACATTACCTCAATGAAAAAAGGGGCTCATTCATTTTTTATCCAGAAGGAAAACTGTCCAGAGTGCATAGACCAGAGACTATATTAGTCAGGCTACTCACCTCACCTGATTTCTGCAAAAATTTCATGGATGTACAGAGACTGTGGCTTTCTATAATTCTGTATTTTGTTCTCTAGATGTCATATGTCACCTGATATTTATTTTCCTGCCTCCCCTCACCCGCCTTTATATCTATTTTGTATCTTCATGATTTCAGTAGAGAGTTTCATGCATGATTCTTTCCTGTACTAGGAAGTGACCTCTTTATGGGTAGGAGATATATATATATATATGTATATACATATATATATATATCAGAAACCTTGATTTCTAGGTTTTGTTCTGAACTCCAGGACAGTAGTGTGAATGAGTACTTATTTTAGATTTTGAGATACAGAATAACAACCAGTTGCTTCTCATAAAACCTAAAACAGGAAAACTCCTAACACATCTCTAAAGATGAGTATTATTTCCCACAAAACTGAAACTCTAAGAAGGAAGTAGTACAAGCATCAAATAAACCTGGGAATTCCAGACAATTCTCTTCACCACTTGTCCCACATATTAGTTATGAAATAATATTATGTATACACAAATATTTGACGCAAGCTCCTGTTTCAACCATGTCTTCAAAATTCAAATTATAAAACATGTTCTATCTACCTTGTGGTTGTATATGAGAAAGAATATGTTGAAAATCATTCTGTTTCACTAAGATCATGTAAAGAACCAAGAAGCTTGGTTTAGAATTTCTTTGAGTCTAAGGACTTTTGGATAAAGCACAATTTCAAAGAGAGAAATTCAGTAGCACAGAGTGTAGAGCACTTGCCTTGCATGCAGCTGGGCTGATTCGATCCCCAACATTTATGGTCCCCTAATATGGTCCCCTAATCACCACCAGGGGTGATCACTGAATGTAGACTGAGAAGTAAGTCCTGAGTGCAGCTGGGTGTGGCCCAAACCAAAATAAAACAAACTCTTGAGTAGATTTCTGATAGGAATACAATTTATACATAATTTTAATCCTTGAACCATCAGTTTAAAAATTTCTTGCCATCAAGACTTTACCAGATCTATGATTTGCAGCTAGGGGCTGAGAAGAGTGTATCACCATTAAATCATTTTCTTTTCTTCGGGGTGTCTCAAGCAGGTCTGCTTTCTAAACCACCTAGCCAACTGGACCAGACACTTTAACACTGGGTCTGAAGAGTAGATCGCTTTCAATGTTTCTGGGGGCCACCAGAGCCACAGGACCACACTTTGTAAGCTCAGCACACACCAGGAAAAGTAGTAGTACTCTACTACTTCAAGTGTTTTCCTGGTGTGCGCTGAGCTTACAAAGTGCAATACCAGAAATACCAGGAATTGCACGTGAGACTTTGTGCATGCAAGACATATGCTCCTTTCCTTTGAGCTTTCTCTCTAGACGCATTTCTTTATTGATAATATGAGAGATTTAACCTAGTTTCTCTAGTAAAGCTTCTCGGGATTGGAAATTTGGGACTTTAAGTAGCCTCTTTTAGGCCAGCCCGGTATTCTAGGGGAAAGGACAGTTCAGATAGAGAAGGGAGCACCAAATGGAGGGTGTTTGGAGGATCCTCCCAGGAGGGGAGATGCAGGTTGAAAGTAGACTGGATTTTGCCACTCAATGCCTCTCAATGCCACTCAATGCCTCTTTTGCTGATCACAACACCCAAAAGGAGAGAGAAAACAAAAGGAGAGAGAAAACAAAAGGCCTACAGTGGCAGGGGGGGATGGGGGAATGGTGGGGGAGGGATATTATCCTTGGTGGTGGAAAATGGGCACTGGTGGAGGGATGGGTATTTGATCATGGTATGACCGAAATCCAAGCACAAAAATTTGTAAATCTACAACTGTACCTCATGGTGTTTCACTAATAAAAAATAAATTCAAAAAAAGAAAAGAAAAGAAAAAGTAGCCTCTTTTAAAAAAAAAATCACTCTAAAAAATAAATAAATAAATAAAAATCACTCTAGAAATTGCCGGAAAACAGTTAAAGTGGTTCAACTTCTCACTTTGCTACTATTTGTCTCCAAACTGCAGTCAGGCAGAAATGGAAATAATAGTAAAATTAGCAGGTGATTTCTAAAAAGTGGGTGAGAAGAATGAATGAGCCCAGTGAACTGTAAGAATTTGCAGAGGGATATTCGTGACCTGCCAATGTTAATAGAAGTAATTCTACTCACCCCACAGTCATTTGCTCCATCTCCACACATGCCCACATAATAACTGCAAGGAAAAAAGAAGAGTTGGTATCTTTCCACTTGAGTGATTTTCATCATAACTAACTACCATGTTTACAGGTATCTGTATGTATGTGTGTTTGTTTACATCCTGAACACATGTGGAATCCAATACAAGGAAAATGAATTGGAGAGAAATTTTTCATACACCTCAGCATTAGATATGAAAATATGAAAGTACACATCTCAAGATGGTGTATGTGGGCAACAGACACATGCATAGCACCACATGTGGCAGCAATACATGGACACACTAACACCCAGACTTGGTCAGCACATGGGTGTGCTTCCTTTGTTCATCTTGGCATTTATAAGGTCTCTTCAAGGCTTCTGCTCATGGGGTTTTCTACCAAGGTAAGAGTCTGTTGCTAGGGTAGTTGTCAAGGGGTAGAGTTGGGAGCAGCTTATGTTCTTTGAAATTCCTTTCCTGATCTTTTTTCCTGCTGGAACTTCTCTGGGTGTTGGTTGGGGGCAGTGGGGTAGGGGTGGGGGTGAGGGTCTGTGCTGGCACCTGGTAAAGGTCTTACCAGGCCTTAGTTTCTTTCTTCTTTAAAATTAATTAATTATTTTTTTTATTGAATCACCAAAAGATAGAGCATTACAAAATTGTTCATGATTCCGTTTCGGTCATACAGTGTTTTAATACCCGTCCCTTCACCATTGTAATTTCCCAGCACCAGTGACCCCAGTTTCGCTACCAGCCCTTCAAGCCACCCTCCCACCCCAGCCTGCCTCTTTGGCAAGGCCTTAGTTTCTGTGTCCACAGGTGGGTTTTTGTGGCCTTGGAGATAATGGTTTTATTACTTTCCAGGAGTCCATTGATGTGGGGGGTCGGGGGAAGTAGGGCTCTTCCCTACCTACCGGCCTGTTTGATTATATGTACCAAGGCCAAGTTTAAGAATGTGCAATCATATCATAGCACTTCCTACTCAACCTAATGCACAGATCATAACCAAATCCATCTGTGTTTTGGTGGCTGACTGCTGCTGAGAGTTCAGACACTAGAATGAGAAACATTTGGAAAATGATCTAACAGATCTAACTAGGGACATACACATAAATTCTTGATGCATCTTGGAGTGAAAATGAAATAATATGCTCTCCATCTAGACCTGTTTGATGTGCAGACATAATGACATAAATAAAAGACCAAATATTAAAGTTGTCACCAAAGGAATTTCTGATGCAAGACATACTCTTCTATTATAAGTAAATAATGTCTTGTAAGTACTGATTAGTGACAATACTATTAAAAGAACAGCTACAATTTTGCAAAATCACATGGAACAATGACAGTACAGGGAAAAGTTCTCAGAGAACTTTACTGACACTTAAGAAATTACGATTCTTATAGGCCACACATGATCAAATGCAAATAAATCCATAAAGTCAACTAGTATATGGCTGTTCTATATGAAAATTACCCTAAAAACATTTACATGAACTTGTACTTATGGCATGACTGTGCCTTTGATGATGGCATCCTTTCTTCGGAATTGAAGCATTTGTCTAGTCTCTAGATCACACCAAGAACTTTATGCACATTGCTAATGATAAAAGGCATGAAGAGAAAAATCAGAAAATTGAGAAGACACTTTATTCAGGAGATCTCTTTCTGAATTGATTTTTCTTTTGGGAAATGCGGCTTTTCAAAATTAACAGTCAAGTTGGCAAAATTTCTCAGGTGTTTGAGAATGGTAAAATTACTTTCTACAGTCAATATTACATAACGATCATGTAAGAGATGGCACTGGTAACTAATCCAGCCTCAAGGCACTATGGGAATAAATGGGAAGATTTTGGAACTTCCCTCAGAATGCTTAGGCAACAAAAAATAATAGTAAAAGGCCGGCTCCTGATTTTTACCTAGCACTTATCAGCAATTATCTAAAGTTTCACTCAGACCTGTTCCTTTTCACATCCCCACAGTCTATCATTTGTAGTTTTTGCAGCAAGTAATAAGTCAGGCCTAAGAAAGAACCATTTCTCTGTGATACAATTAGGTTATCATGTGTGTGATGTCCTTGAAGAATACAAGAAAGAGATATGTATTTCTTCTTTTGATTATTACTTTGGTCTCAAGACCTAACCCCTGGCAGAGCCGAATACAAATACCTGTACACCTTATTCCTAAAGGATCTGAAATTGTTTGTGAATCTTCTTATGGAGATTCCATGTGATAACACTTACTTCCCCAATGTTTCCATCCCCAAATTATACTCGCCCTACTGGTTTTGGCTTGTTTTGTTTTGCTTAGTTTTAGGATCACATCCAGAGGTCTCAGTGCTCTTGACTCTGCACCCAGAAATCACTCCTGGCAGGACTTAGAGGACCGTATGTGGTACTGGGGATAGGACCAGACTGGCTGTATGTAAAACAAGTGCTGTTCCAGTTTCACTATCACTCTGGCCCCTTATCCTAGAATTGCAATTCTCTGTATTTCAGCAAGAAATCTTCCTTTAATGTGGTGTATGGATCAACAAAATTTTTAAAGATCTCTGGAGTGAACAACTTCTACAATGGCATTCACCTTTTAAATGTTATTAATGGAATAATATAATATACTCCCTCAAGTGTGGTATGGACGTAGTGACCAGAGACTCTGACAGATAATACAGCAAAAATGAAGCTAAAATCCTTCAAAGATGAGGATATGAAAAATACGGACCCTTGGGCTGGACCAACAGTAGAGTGAGTCACCCTTGCACAAGGTGACCCAGGTTCTATTCCTGGCACCACATATGGTTCCCTGAGCCAACCAGAAGTGATCTCTGAGTGCAGAGCTATGAGTCCACCCTGAGCACATGACCCAAAGACAAAAAAGAAAAATTGGTGATGCATTCCTACCCCTGCAGGCTCTATTTGCTTGTCCACACTGGGGACAACCAGTTCCATACTGCAAAATTCCTTACAATATGACCCCTGCAGCAAGAACCAAAAGGTGATTTGTTTAACAGCCAGTAAAGCACTGAGACTCAGTCCAACCAGACACAGGAACTGAATCCCACCAGCAACACCTGAGTGAGGCAGGTGGCAGAACCTTCTGCTCAAGTGTTGAGCTGCCTGCAATCAGCCACTGTTGGATTGCAACTTGTAAAAACCCTGAACCTGAAGACTCGGCTACTCCACACCTGAGTTCCCCACCCACAAACATGAATCCTAATAATGTATTTCTAAGTCACTAAATCTTGGGGTCACTTGTTACGTAGAACTGCCAACAATACTCTCCTTGCATACAGCAACACCTACTTTAACTTTTGAAATTCTTCAATAAGACTTGATTTTTGCCCAGGTGACATTCTTGCAAAAATGGTTCCATTCACCAGAATCTAAAGAGAAAAATAATCATTGAAATAATGCTTCTTAAGAACAAGAACAGTCCTGAGAAATCATTCTTGGACGCCATTTTAAGGTAATTTTGAATGCTTTGTCATTAAACCAAGTGCCAGGAGAAGAAACAGTGCAATTTAATGCCTTAAAATCTAACTCACTTTCAGTCCTTTATCACAAAACTCTATTGCTTCTTAACAGAGCTGTGCTTCAAGATGGGGTAAACTTTAATTAATAATAATTAGTAGAAAGTAGCAGAACATATGGTTTTTAAATGCTTAAGGAAATGCAGTTATTTTTATTGAACACAGTCTCCATAATTACAGCACAGACAAGAAAAGAGGAAGAGACTGGAAGTTGAGAGAGTGCTAGTCTCATTTCTGTCCCAACTAACTGTGCAAATGTTCAGTGAGTGACTTAACCACTTTGAGTCTCAGCTTTCCCTTTTCAAAATGAAGAATGAGAGTGACGAGAGAGATATACAGCAGGCAGGACTCTTGCCTTGTACACAGCTGACCCGGGATCAATTCCTGCTGTCCCATGTGGTCCTCTGAGCACCACTATAAGTAACTCCTGAGTGCAGAGCCAGAAGTGACCCCTGAGTATCACCAGGTGTGGCCCCCAAACAAAAACAAAACAACATAAAGTGGAAATAAGACTAATAGCTCTCTAAAAGCCTTTGGTCTTTGCCTTGAAAGGGAACAGAATGTTTATGGCCTTGCTAGCAGCTGGTTTCTGCCCTCAGCTTGTGCTCCACTTTCCTGTCTCACATTGAAAGCACAACCCCACATGATGCTGTTTCCAAACAGACCCACAGAAAACAATACACCAAGATATTTTGGAAATAAAACAGGGGTCTTTGTTTTTTTCCTGTCTAATTTCAGAATCTAGACATGAACAGAACAGAGAGAAGCCTACTCTGAGCTGGCTTTCAGAGAGAAACTGACCCACAAAGTGGTGCCATATTTAGAAGCCTCTGGATGGGAGTTGCCTGGCAGAGGGGAGCAGGGACTGGGATAGAACTCAGACTCTGAAACGGAGTTATGTGGCTCTGTAGGGTCACGCTTAAGTTTGTTGGACTTGGACATTTCTGAAGCAGCCACAACCCTCTGGGATGTTTATTCCCTAAATCTGAGGCAACTTCGCTAATGATTATCTCCACCCCTCTCCTCCGTTTTTATAACTTCCTACTTTGAGGAATTAAACACTCTAATTTCCAATACTTACTTTTGGAAGCAGGCTGTTAAAATGCTGAATTATCACTTGGTATGATTTCCCACTCATTGCAAAATGATAAGAGCCCACTCTTTCTCCACCAGGCACTAAACTGTTCCCGATGTTAATGTAGGTTTCCTGAAATCAGAAGGACATAATTCTATGACAGCCCCTGTCTCTTCTCCCCTACGTTATTGAAAAGAAATGTACTCATGTTACATCAGTGTGAAGTCCAGCAAAGATATAATGCGTCACTTGCTCACGGCACCCATATTAAAAAAGACATTCAAAATGTCTCTCCAAATTTAAGGAATATATCACACTTTGACAGCATGATGATCTTGATCCTGTGCTGGGAGATAATATGTGTGTATTGACACACATATAGAAATAGAAATAGAATAGAAATAGAAATAGAATAAAATAGAAATAGAATAGAAAAAATTATTCTAAGTTAGCAGTTACTGATTTCAAGTAAACCCAAAAGCACTCTTGCTTCCTTTTCATCATCTTCATACATCTTATATTTCCCTAAGATCTCTAACTATTCACTCATCCATCTGCTCAAAATACTATGCTCAAATTCTTCATTGAAAATAGGTAGACTTCTTTGGAGCTAGAGCAATAGTACAGCGGGCATGGTGCTTGCCTTGCATGTTGTTGACCTGTGTTTGATACCCAGCATCCTATATGGGCCCTTGAGCACTGCCAGGAGTGATTTCTGGGTGCAGAGTCAGGAGTTACCTCTGAGAATGGCCAGGTGTTTCCCTCAAACAAAACACACACACACACACACACACACACACACACACACACACACACACCAAAAAAACAAAATAGATACTCTTCCTTCAGAGTCTAACTTCTTTTAGCACCTGACCTCTGTTCTCCCCCGTAGCTAACCTGTTGTCTCATGGCACCCAGATCCTACTCCACACCCTAAGTTCCACTGCACCAGCCTTACTCTTATGCTGAAACTCTTCCTCTCATCTTTGGTCTGTAATTGTATCTGTCAATGTGTCTTGTCCAGCTTGGTTCTGACACAAGAAAAAGCAGTTGATGAGGTATCTGTACTCACCAGGTCAATAGCTGATGGTGATTTTCTTCATGTAACATTTCTAAGAAGACCTTACATTTGTGTAGGACTTTGAACTCAAATAGTACAGTAGGAAATGACACAAATTTATTCATTAGTGAAATCCACTTTAGTGAAAGCATTAGATTTGGAAGAAAAAAATTTGATGTGCTGAATTGAGAGACAAGGTGATATAACCCTCCTCTCACTGACCCTTTGCAAAAACAATCACACACAAAAAAACATGTTCTCAGGCATTTAACATGACATAAATGGAATCTCCCTTGTTTTTAATTCAAAAGTGGATGGAGGGAGTGGGGTGAGAGGGAGACAGAGAGAAGAAAGAAAGACCTGGCAGTAACCAAAACTTCAGAGAGGGATTAAAACTCATAAATGGTGGTAAGAGTAGATTGCTTGTTTAAAAATTGTGATGGTCGAACCAAGGCAATGGTACAGCAGGTAGGGATTTGTCTTGCACATAATTGACCTGGGTTCAATTACTCAGACTCTATATAGTTCCCCTAACTTTCCAGGAGTGGTCTTTGAGGGCAGAAACAAGACTAACCCCTGAGTACCACTGGTTGTGGCCCAAAAAGCAAAAAAATAAAAACAAAAATGATGTGATGACCTGATTTTTGTCACGTAGTGAAACTGAGGCAACAGGCAATAATGCATTTGCAAGTGGAACTATAAGAAAACAGCACCAGATATCAGCTAAAGGGAGAAGAGAGAGAGAGAGAGAGAGAGAGTGTGTGAGAGAGAGAGAGAGACACAGAGAGAGAGACAGAGACAGAGACAAAGAGAGACAGAGAGAGATACGGAGAAAGAATATGTCACCGTCCATAGCACTTCATTGGGAATTGAATCTCTATCCTCTCAGGGCAGGGATAGGGCTACTATATGCAGCTGTGTAGTTTACACAGAACCTAAACATTCCAAAGAGCTCATCTTCCAGGAAGAATTTTCACAGTTTATTATCTAGTGCAGCATCTCTTTGAATTCACACAAAGGCAGAGGTGCTACATTTAGTAACAAGTGGTGCTGTACTCAGTTCTTAATAGGAGACACCCATCCCATCAACAGTGGGCAGGAAATTTAGGGTACAGGGAAGCCCAATAAGCCCAACAACTATCAACTTCAGGTCTTAAGCACAGTACTACCTAAATGTTAATGGATTGGGGTGAAATCAAACTGATTTGAATTTTATTTCTTGCGCTGCAACTCCCCAGTTTTGTGTGTGTGTGTGTGTGTGTGTGTGTGTGTGTGTGTGTGTGTGTGTTGCTTGGGCAAATTTACCTAAGGAGGCCCCAGTTCTTTTCATTGTAAAAGGAATAACTTGCTTGGCTGTAGAGACCAACTGTCACAAAGGAAATGTGGTTCTCAAGTACAAGTGCATGTCAGAATCACCAAGATTCTGATTTCATCAATAAATTTTCAGAATTAAAAAGCTTAAAAACGCTTTCAGGGAATTTCTCTGGCCAGGGCTGAGAAAGGCTAGTGAAAACGCTAAATAAACGGCTAGAGAGAGAGAGAATACAGAGAGTAAGGCAGTTGTCTTGCATGTACCTGCCCCAGGCTTGATCCCATCTCGGGCTCTCCCTACGGCCCCCTGAGCACCACCGGGAGTGACCCCTGAACACAGAGCTAGGAGTAAGCCCAGAGCACAGCTGGGTGTGGTCCCCAAACAAATAAACCAATGCTAAATATTGAATGGAAAACTGTATAAAGCTGCGAGAGTTGTGAGTGATTTTTGACTGTGGTGACTTCTAATGCAGAGATAGAGGGGCCGAGTTCCAGAGCTGTTATTACGTCAGGTCAGGCCCATGGAATTGCTCACATTCTTTCCAGGTCCGTTCTCTTGGCTCTCCACCAACTTCCAGGTCACAGAGGCAGGAAGAAACTTTTCTGGTTCATTGGCTTCAACAAGGATCACTGGGCTTCCCCGGGGAATCATTCCAGAATTCTTTGCCACAGTAATAGCTGTTTGAAGGTTGTCACCTAGATGAAAGTAAAATGAAAGAAAGTCAGTTTGCTTAGGTACTTCCCACTTAACAACCAGAATTTTGAGCTTTCCTTTCAGTCCCCATATCACTTCGTTGGTGCTTTGGGGTGCATGCAGGATTTTCTGTCTCACTATAAGCAGTTTGATCTCCATCTATTCAGGTCTCTCTGCCCCCAGTGGTGTGACACAATGTCTGCTTAGCCCCTCCCCCCCCATTGGTACCTTGCATTATGTCCTGAATATGTGTATTTCCCAAATGTATCACTGTAGCACTGTCCTCCCGTTTTTCATCGATTTGCTCGAGCAGGCCCAGTAACGTCTCCATTCTGAGACTTCTTGCTACTGTGTTTGGCATATAGAATACATCACGAGGAGCTTGCCAGGCTTTGCCGTGCGGGCCAGATACTCTCGTATCTTGCCAGGCTCTCAGAGAGGGGCGGAGGAATCGAACTCGGGTTGGCTGTGTTGGCCGCGTGCAAGGCAAATGCCTTACCGCTGGGCTATTGCTCCAGCCATCCCAAATATGCATGCTTACTTATATAATATATATTATATATTACTTACTCCCAAATATACATGCATAAATAAATAACCAGGTAAGCCCTTTACTGCGAATCTGCTGGGGATTGAAGGCTCTGAATTGTAAACATAAAGTGAGCTCAGTCAGACAGCTTAAAAGCATCTCTGAGATACAGAAGACAAAACCAAGAAAGGGGTACTGAAGGATGAAACCATATTTGGATTTGATTATTATCTGCTCTGCCTGACCTGCCCTCAGGATAGCCTAACAGAGCGTCACAGCCTTTATATAGATATCTCACTGGTGTTCTTGATGAGAACACATTCATTCTGGCATGTAAATACTGCCTGAGCCCATGGCACAAGTCTAGATAGAAAGGGTGGGTGTTACACAAAGTGCATGAGATATGCTCACTGCCTTCAAAGCTTGTGGTTGTGTTGTGGGGAGCGGGGGGGGGGTCATGGGGTCACATGTCTTCTCAGGCAACTGGAGCACTGGGTAACGTGCGTGAGAGTGAAATTTTTTTTTCTTTCTGCCTCGGTTCCATGAACTCCCCATATGTCACAGGGCACACTTCTCTTATGCCTGAGATGTGCTGTACTTGTCCGGCTTCTAGAAACTCTCACCTGTAATCATCACGGTCCTGATGCAAGCCTCCTGCAGTTCTCTGAGGACCGGTGTGGTCTCTTTCTTCAAGCGATTCTCCATTATCAGAAGCCCCAGAAATGCTAACTCTGACTCCACCTTCTCTCTTTAGATTCAGAAAAAAAACATTTGATATTAAAGGGGCTGGAAGAGACAGCATAGTGGGTAAGGCACTTACCTGCCTTGCATATAGTTGGACCCAAATTCAAACTTGAGCGCTGCACCTAGTACCCCAAGGACTAGCAGGAATGATTTCTTAACACAGAGTACTGCCAGGAGTGTCCCAATATTCCTTCCACCACAAAGTGGATTATTAAGGCATTCTCCGGGTTCAAGTTCCTTTTTCAAATGTTCTATCAATGTGATAATGGCACATATTCAAAAATATCAAGAAGGAGATAGTGCAGGAATTAAGGCACGTGGTTTGCATGTAGTCAGTCCCTGTTTGATCTGTGGAACCACCTGGTCTTCTGAGCATAGCTAGATGTGTTCCAGAGGAAGCAGCAGAGCACTGTGGGGTGCAGTTCTGGAGCTGGTGTGGCCTGGGTAATCTGAATTGCAGGACTTGAGCTTCACCGCATCTTTGAACCCTGGTATTGAATTGACGGGCCCAGTTCACCAAGAATTATTGGGTGTGGGGGTTGCTTCCCTCCTGAGCACTATCTGCAAGCCCTCTCCCATTCTTTGTGGGAGCATTGGGCCACACCCCAAAGTGCTCAGACTTACTCCTTTTCCTGTGCTGAGGGTTCACACATGGGGGACAGAAGGGGGCTCAGGGGACCATATGAGGTTCTGAGAATCAAACCCAGGGCAACTGTATGCAAGATGAATATCCTACCAGCTGTACTATTTCTCAAGCCCTCCTTTTAAAAAATAAAATAAAATACTAAAAGCTTATAATGAAAACCAACTATCTTCATCTTCACAATGCCTTTCCCTTCTCTTTTCTAGACTTTATCCACTCATCTCTTCTGGCTGGGCTGCTTCTTCTAGATTTTGCCTTCTTGCTTTTTTATTTAAGCTAAAAGGAAACTGCTATTTTTCAGTGCTCACTTTTCTTATAGTTTAAATTTTTTTTGTAATCACATATGTATGTATAACTGGATAGAAAGTTCCAGAGTTTGCCTTGTTGGATCACTGGCACTGCATATGGTCCACTGAGCATCTCCAAAGATCACTCCTGAGCACAGAACCATGAACATCCCCTGAGTACTGTCGGGTATGGCCCAAGCACTCACCTCCCCCCAAACACCATATATATGTATATGTATATATATATATATATATATAGTGGTATTGATACTGTTTCTTTTCTATCACAATATATATATATACACACACACATAAGTATGTATATATATATGTTTAACTTCAAAATGCTTTTTTGTGGCTTGTAATAATTCTGTTTAATAGCCATTCATTAAGTATCTATAACATGCAGACTAGTGTGGTGAGAGCTGAAAATGGAGTCATTAATTTCAGCTTCCGTCTGTGACCTCCAGGAAAGAAATTCATGGGATCAGTTAAGAATTTAAAGAATTTTCAGAACTTGAAATTGGAGACTGGAAATATCACTGGGTTATATATAGGTGCGATTTCTTCTCTGAAGTAAAATACATCTCAAATGATGATGCTTTTAAAAGACAATTTGGAGATCAAAAATTCTTCCTTGATCTCTTATAGTTCTGTTTCTTGTCCAGAATAGAATCAAGATTGCAAGAGAGGAAGGGGGAGAAGAAACATAGGGCTCTAACTTTTCTGTATACTATCAAGAAATTCTCTGTGCTCAATCCTGAGACTCTCTCCACCTTCCGTAATACCTTACCTGGCATGTAGACTTCTGCAGGTGGATCAACTTTCTGGCATTGCTCTCTGACATGGCTTATGGCTCCAGAGCCTTCTGTACTATTGAGCAGCTGCCTCTCGCTTACTTATCTTGTTTCTAACAGAAAGTAGGCTTACTCTGGTATTGCTTGTTTTCTATCACAGTTGTGAAAGTTTAGAACAAGAGAAAATACAGGATCATTAAACCTTCCTTACGAGAGAGGCCAGAATCATAGAACCGTGGGTAGGGTGTTTGCCTTGTATGCCATTGACCCAGATTCAATTCATGGTATCCCATGATTTCCTAAGCACCATCCAGAGTAATTCCTGAGTACAGAGCATAAAGTAATCCCTGTCACTTGCTGGGTGTGCCCTCCCCTCCACCACCCCAAACACAATAAAAAGGAAGAAGACAAAAAAGAGAGAGATCAGAGTCAGATTTCCTGATAAGATGACACAGACTCAAACTTGATCAGAAAGACAGTGCATAAACTTCTCGGCAGATTAAAGAATAAATTGCTAGGTCTTTCAACAAATGTCCATTCACTAAATAACTACTTTGCTTTAGACATTGCAATAGACACTTTAGCATGTACTCAGAAAACCAGAAATGAATTCTGCCTGTGTGATCTCAGAGAATACAATAAAAGAAAATTGATCTTAATACAGAATTTTCTAAATTCCTATCATTTAACTCCATGATTTTCTATTAAAATCGAGTTAATAATTGTTTAATACCTACAACAAAAATTTGCCCCAGTTTTGATGTGTCTGTTTTATAATCCATCCCCTGTTTATTGCTTCAGATACTTTCGTCTCTTGTCGTTCTACAATTTTCCTAGGAAAATCCTGTCAGAACCTTTGCACCCAATCTTCCTGTTGTCTACAATATTCTGCCTCCATATCCGAAGGTCTTGCTCCCTCATTTGACTAAGCTCTTTTCTCAAATATATTCTCTCAGAGCGTTTCCTTGATTACCCCATGTAAAATGGAATTTTCTGCCATTTTCAATTCTCTGAATACTTTATTTTTTTTTAATCATGGCAGAATGGTTTATGTTTTTTAATCAGAGAATTTATCCCTACTTGATCATACTTGAATAGACTTATTTTATTATTTACTTCCATCAATTAGGATAGAACACACATGAGGATGAGAATTTTATTTCATCCACTTCTTAATCCTCAGATCTTGAAGAACATAGTTACGCTCAAATTTCTGTTTAGCTATAATAAAGTTCAACATGAATTTCCTTATTTTTTCAATTAAAGGAAGAATCTCGATAAATTATTCTCTGCCTGTCCCCTACCATCACCCCCCTGCCCACGTCCTTTGAAGAAACTCTACTTAAAGCCATCCGTTTTTGGAATATTTTGATTTATTCCTTAAGTGGGAAAGTTTTCTAAATATCACTTGATTCTAAAATAATCAAGACCTCAATCCCTTACATTGCTTGAAATTGTAACTAAATTCCAAGAAGCAAATTGAACTCCTAATAGTCTTTGGGAAAACATATGATAATTGGAAATTAAGCATGCTTTATCGTCATTTTCCTCTTTTGTTACATATATAATAATGCCTATTTCACTAAAGCATCACAGCTGTGTTGATGTGTACAGCTGGGTGGTGGCTACTCTCACTACATAGAGTTGCTTCACATGTGACTTTCATTATTAAAATTTGTAACTAAAAAAATCACAAAATTCCCTTCTTGAGTGCTAAATCTGAAGGTGTCATAAACCTATTTCAAAATGAACTTTGTAATTTTACTTAGAAGATTAAAACATCATTTTAATGAAAGGGTCCTGACAATCTACGAACAGGAAAAAAAACTGTAAAGAAAGAGCAGTAATTATTAAATAAATTAGAATAGATAATCTCAGGTTGTAAATAGCAAAACTGTACCAAGGATATCTTCAGTTTAAGGCAAGAGGCTAATTCTATATAAAGGAGGATCTCTCTAAAGAAACACACACAAAAAATCAAAGATAAGTAACACAAAAAAACACTTGTTATTCAATTTCCACAGTCTTACTCTATTCCTTTGCGAAAAACAAAAATATTCTTTAATATCTGGAAAAGCTTGAGAGAAAAATTAATCCACAGATTACCCTCTAATGAGGATGATTTCTTTCACTGTTGTAATTAAGAATATTGACATATAAATTTTCATTCACTCTTTCTGCAGATCTGAAGGAGATGTACTATTTACCTCTTAATGAAGTCAAGCAAATTATTCTGGAGACTTTCTTTTCTCCCTTTAACATGTATCTCTCTTGCTTGTCTCTACTTGTCTTTTTCCACTCTGGAGAAATCTGTGTTCTCTCTTGAGCAAGCATTTCCTCTATTTCTCCCATCACATGTTTCTAAATAAGTTTCATTCAATAAAATGATGTTGTTTCACACACTAATACTAATACTAATAATATAATATGAATCTGCAAATCCTCCAAAGTTCCAGATGTCTCCACCCTTCAACCCCTTGGATGTAGGACCCCAAATCAATGCCCACATTATGCAATGATATCGAAGGAGGATTGTTCAGTTTAGACTGGGATGGTAGAAACAAATCAGAGATAACTCACCACTGGTTGGAAATCAAGTGGTCTTGTCTGCTACATTTGTTCTATTACCCACCAGCCTTGTGCTTCGAACTAGTTTTCTCCAGTTGTTTTAAGAGTTGACTATCTCAGATTCAAGAAACAGAATGAGATTTATTCTCCATTTCCTATCACTTTCCTGAGCAAAAGGTGTTCATTTTTTCAACTCTAGGGCTTCTTCACTTTCACACATAAAGCAAAACCTAGTGCTACTTTCTGGAGTCCTTACCTGGATAAACTCTTTGCTTCTGAAATATTCCTCAGCTTCAAGGTTTTATGGGCAAGAGCAATGACACGGAAGCCTTGAACTGTGTAATTCTTCAGTTCATTTTGGAAATTCTTGGGCACTTACAGGAAAAGGAAACACATCAATGTATGGTCACAATGAAATCCACCCACTCCTAAGCAAGACTTTGGGATGAAGTCACTATTTCAGGTTTAATACATAATACATATATGTAAATACATATATAAATTATAAACTATATTTATGTATATATAAACTGAGAAATTACAAATTAAAAAACACAAGAACATAAATCAATGTGTGCTTTTTCTTACATAAATGATATTAGAGATACATTGGTCAAGTGGGTTTGTCAACCTGGGTTCTGGCAGGGCAGAACTCAGAACTATGTTTACTTAGGTGATATAAGAAAATTAATTGATCCTTTCAGTTTTTAGACTGACTCAGTAACCTATAGACTAAATATGGCTTAGCACTACTTGTTTATATTAATAAAGTTTTATTGAACACATTGTGACCATTTATTTATAGATGGTTATGGCTTCTTTTAGGCTTCTGTAACATGACTGAGTAGAAAAAGACCCATGGGCCTGAAAATATAAAATTTTAGGTTGGAGAGAAAAGTCAGGGTTTAAAACCCTTGTCATTCATATGATCGAGCTTGGTTTAATATTTGGCATCAAATAGCACTGCAAGCAGTGATCTCTGAGCATAAAGCAAGGAGTAAGCCTTGAACACTGTCAGGTATAACCCACAGTCAATAAAGTAAGAATAATGTAACAAATGTAGAAGACAAGACTGCTTGATTCCCAAAATATTCTTACTTTATGGTCTGATGGGCTACAGTTTACTATCTGTCTGATGAAAAGGTCACCTTTAGATCACAGATGAGACATTGTCAACATTTGTAAATTTTGACATGCTAATCATAAATAATGTTAACATGTTTATAAAATCTTTATGGTTCATGACATGTTTATTATAAAGAAGCACCCTATAATAGGGGAGGGGGGAGCAAAGGTTGAAGAACACCTGAGGTCTAATTTCTGATGCCAAATGACTCACTAACTTAGGGCATGTTCAGTTTCTTTGCTGCACCACAATTTTCCATATAAGTGATTATAGATCACCATGTTCCCATTTTGTAATTCTTTTTAAAAATACTTAATACCTTTTATTAAATGATAGGCTAATCAGGCAACATCCTGTCTAGCAAGTAGAAGAAATATCCAAAAAGTTGTATAACATGAGGGGTTATATAAGCTGACCATTCTGTAATTCTTTAATTATAAACATTCTGTGCTTCTAAAATAATCCTGAAAGTGTGGGCATAATTCAAGGTATTTCTCAGTTCTCTTTTTCATAAATACCTGAGAGAAAAATAATTTAAGATGATATTAGCATATGCTAGGATCAGAAGTTAGGACAAAAAGAAATGTAGAGTGACTAGAAGAAAAGATGGTAAGTAAGAGACTGAAACCCTTACTGACAAAGCAGAGGCCATAGTGACTGTTTAAAATTTCAAAACTATACTAGTATGTTTGCAGAAGAAAAAAGAGAACAGGAAAGTACAGACAGTGATGGAGCTAACGGGAGTTATAAGTACAATCACTCAGAAAAATGGGAGGAGGGGAGATATCTCTAAGGCTAAAAATAATAATAATAAGATTCCCAGTAGAGAAGTTAAAGCAATCATATGCCAAATCCGTAATTCTTTGCACAAGTTGATGGCTATCAACAATTGTAAGAAGAATATAGATGAAAATCAGGAGAAAAAAGGCCAATTTTATCCAAATGAACTCATTTGAATGCAGCAATATTCCCAGAAAGCAGGCTGTCACTCAGAGAATACCTGTTTGTAAGACTAAGAAACAATACAAATCAGCTCAAAATTTGGCTCAGAAAGATGAAATTGCTGCAAAAAATTGATCAGTCATCCTGTTCTAATACTATCTATTATGCTCCAACCACTTACTGCCAATAATCTAATAAAACAGATAATTTCCCCTTAGGTCCACTGTCCACTGTCCTCCCGTTGTTCATCGATTTGCTCGAGCGGGCCCAGTAACGTCTCCATTTTTGAGACTTGTTGTTACTGTGTTTGACATATTGAATACGTTACGGGTAGCTTGCCAGGCTTTGCCATGGGGGCGAGATACTCTTGGTAGCTTGCCGGGCTCTCCGAGAGGGGTGGAGGAATCAAACCCGGCTCAGCCGGGCTGGCTACACGCAAGGCAAGTACCCTACCTCTGTGCTATCGCTCCAGCCCTCCTCTGAGGTAATATAATAAAATAAAATATTTCATTTTTGTCTTTTGGGGTCACACCCATCAGTACTGCAGGCTTACTCCTGGTTCCATGCTCAGGAATCACTCCTGTCAGGGTTATAGGGACTGTATGTGGTGCCAGGTATGAAATCTGAGCTAGTTGCATGCAAGGCAAACACCTTACCCTACTGCCCTTGCCCTAAAATAGAATATTTAAAATTTTATGATCTCCTTCTGTAATCTATTTGAGCTCCATGAAGAGAGTCAACTTACCACTTGCCTCTCTGCCTTATAATGATCACCTGTGACTTATCAGATACAGAGTCTACTTCCTACTCACCTGAAAGGAACCACATCTGCGCTCATAATTAAGATTTGCTATCTGTAAGATTTAGAACATTTTATCTCTTCCAAGAGGAAATTGCCAGTGGGTACCTGTTTCAGATCTGCAGAACCTGACCAACATCTCCGGGGCACCTTTCATGTAGACATGCAGCTGATCCTCCCCCTCCAACTGGGCCACCACAGACATCCTCTGCAGGCTTGAGGAAAAGGGAAATTGGCACAAGACGGTGATGGCTGCCACAGGACTCTGCCAGTGCACCAAGAAAGGGGAGCTTAAGAAGCTTTTAAATGAGAGTTAGCAAATGTATGTTTCACTCTGCAGTGGGCCGGCAGCGACCCCCAAGAACAGTACAAAGTGGTACATTTGTCACTGGATTGTTATTTTTCTGGCTGCCTTGTAGTTGATTCCTTCACCAGGTTCCAAGCTTGTCTGCCTAGAGAAATCCAAATCCCCTTCTAGGTCAAGCTCACAAGTAAATTCCTCTATCCAGAAATAGTATTTACTCCCACCTCTGCACTTCTATGGCTCTTTCATCAGCCTTTATTATACCACTTCGCACAGTACATTGCACTTATTTGCACCCATATTGATTTTTCTGCCAGTCCACATACTACTCCAACTCAAAGCCCAATACTTCTAGTTTTGAATTCCTGAACACTTAATCCAGTTAAATAGAATAAGGAATTCCGTGAGTGTTCCTTGAATCAGATAATAGGTAGTTTCAGATATGAATGTATGAGTAAACCAACAACTGATACTATTAGATTAAGACAAAATAATAGAAATATTTGAATAGGTTACAGTCAATGGAATTTCACCAGTATTAAAGAAACAGTTATGTGACAAATCAGCAAAGCATACCTGGCTAGCATTTGGACCTGGTTTCATTATAACATTAGAGCCCGATGTCCCAATATTGCAGTAGTCTGCATTGCAATCTTCCATTATCTGTTTTAAAATAAAAATATTCATGAGATTCCTTAGAGGAAAAATAATAAGGAAAATATCTCATTTGCATAGTTTTTTAAATCTTTTCAAAGCCCTTTTCACATATTCTCTCTTTTAGGCCAATTATCGTGATGCCATCATTGTCAAATTTCTGTTGTGTTGATTTATATCAAGGACTTTATTGTAAAATGTCAAAAAGTTAGAAATATTGTGGGTATATTTTAAATAATTAGAGAAAGAAGTGCTAGCTAAAGCCAACAACTCTTGTTAAATGGGATGTCTAGAATTTGGAGGAGTGCTTATGTGGAGATGTATTTGTCTCAGGAGAGCTGAAGACGATAAGTTCTCAGGAACAGCATTAGGATTGTATAGGGGGTAGGAGTTAGGTTTGACTGTGTTTGAAGTTAAAAATGAAAGTAAATAACATGGCATTGATGCAATTTAGGGGAAAATAGTAGTTTCAGGCATAGAATAGGGTCAGGGTTAGAATAGGATTTGGATTAGAAATGGGGTAGGGATAGGGTTAGGGTTTGGTTTGTGAAGGGGTTAAATGTTAGTAATTTCCTTGTTCATTGTTGAAAATGTAAGTTAAGTATAGGGAAATTGTTAAGTGTTGACTAATTGGTAATTTAAAGGGTAGGTGATGGTCAGCATTCTCCCTCTCTCTCTATATGTATATATAGATATATATATATACAATACTATATTTATGGAATTTTATTTATGGTAATAGTTAAAAATGCAAGTTAAGTATTGGAAATTGTTAAATTTAGGTTAATTGGTAGGTTTAAGCCTGGGATAGGAACAGGATTAGTGTAGGATTATAATAAGACATGACTAAAATTATGGTTGGTCATTAGGATTGTGTAGGGGTTTTATATTAATATTTTCTGTGTTGAAGTTAAAATTAAAAGTCAATTATAGTGCAGTTGTTAATCCTGACCCTAGCCTATGCCTAAAACTATCAGTTATCTAAACTTAACAACTGCCCTGCACTCTGATCCTTTCTTAATTTGCATTTTTAACTATTACCATAAATAAAACTCCATGAGTATAATATTGTATATATGGAAAGAATAAGCCCTGAGCACTGTCATATGTGCCCTAAAAACCAAATAAAATAAACGAATATAATGCTATTATTAAATTTAGTTTAATTGTTTCATTTTAGTCTATGCATGGGTAAGGTTTAGTACAGACTGGGGTTAGGATTAGGATTAGGATTAGGATTAGGTCTAGCGTTAGGTTTAGGGTTTTTGTAAGTATTCAATGTTAGTTTTTCTGTGTAGAAACTTAAAAATGCAAGGATACTGGGGATATTGGTGGTGGAGAATGTGCACTGGTGGAGGAATAGGTATTTGATCATTGTGTGACTGAAACTCAAATATGAAAGCTTTGTAACTAACTATTTCACAGTGATTCAATAAAAAATAAATTAAAAATATAAAAACAATCTGAACCAAAAAAAGCAAGTTTAGTAGAAGATGAACATTGAATTTAGGCTAATGGGTAGGTTTGGCCTAGGGAAGAATCTGCTTTTGTATAAGGTTAGTTAAGATTAAGGTTAGGGTTAGGTTAAGATATGTATGTGAGGGTGGGGGGGAGTATTTGATTTGGACAAATTTAAAGTTAGAAATTAAAATAAAGTATAGAGATATTGTTAAATGTGTGCTAAATATTCATTGGAAGCTACTGCTAGGGGAAATCTTAGTATAGGCTAGTATTAGGATTAGGGTTAGGGTGGAATTGGAAGGTGCTAAATTTTGTTTGAAGTTAAAAATTCAAGTTAAGTAGATGATTATTAATTTTGTCTAATTGGTAGGGATTGGCCTAGAATAAGGTCAATGTTAGTAACCCTAGGATTACAACTAGGGTTGGGGTGAGGTATGCATAGGGGTTAGGTGTAAAGTTAAAAATGAAATTATAATACAGGGCAATTCTAAAATTTAGGCTAGGAATTCATTTTAACTTTGTGCTAGGGTCAGGTTTAGTATAGGCTAAGGTTCTGATTAGGAATAAAAAGGGGGGTTGGAGTAGGGTTTTCATAGGATTTAGGGGTTTGGATTCCCTGGATACAAAGTTGAAGATAAAAGTAGAGAATGGGAAGAAGGTTACACTTTGGCTAATTGTTTTTCTTAGGTCTGGAGAAGGGTCAGGACTAATATTATGATAGGATTAGGTTTAGGTTTAGTTTTAGGGTTAGGTGTTATGTTTGACTGTGCTCAAATTTAAAAATGAAAGTAATCTACTGGGTTATTGTTAAATTTAGGCAACATTGGCAGTTTTAAACAGAGGCTAGGATCATGGTAAGATTCAATTAGTTTAGAATTGGAATTAGGGTTAGGGTAGGGTTAAATTTTGTTTAGGAATTATGAGTTATGCTTTGCTGTGTACAAATTCTAAAATGCGAGTTAGTTTAAGATGAGTGGTTAAGCTCAGGTTCATTGGTGAGTTTCGGTCATGGGTAACATAGGGTTAGGATAAGGATTAGGCTTAACACAAGGATTAGGGCTCTGTATCTATAGGGATAAATTGTTCACTTTTGGTGTGTTTACAGTTAGAAATGAAACAAAATTATCAGATGATTGTTAAATTTAGGTTAATTGTTTTAAGCCTATGCAAAGTAAAGGTTTACTCTAGTCTAGGTTTAGGATTAGGGTTGAGTTTGGGTAAAGGTTAGGTTCTTTGTAGTTGTTTAGAGCTAGATTTTACTGGATACAAATAAAAAATGCAAGCTACAAATTCATTTATCGTTAAATTTAGGTAAATGGGTAGGTTTAGACCTAGATTAGAATCATATTTAGTTTAGGGTTTGTTGTAGGATTAGGATTAGGAAAAGGAATAGGGTTAGTGTAGGTATGTGTAGGAATTGTTCAGTTTGGCTGTGTTTAAAGTTAAATATCAGAATAAACTATAAGATGACTGTTAAATTTAACCTAAATGTTTAATTTAAGACAATAAGAGGAAAAGGCTCGGTACAGGGTGGTGAATTAGGATAGGGTTAGAGTTAGAGTTTGTGTAGGAGTTAGGAGTTAGCGTCTGCTGTGTACAAACTCTGAAATCCAAACTAATTATAGAGAGATTGCTAAATTTAAGTCAATTGGTAGGTTTAGGCCTATGCTAGGGTCAGTTTTAGTAGAGGCTTAGGGTTAGAATTAGGATTAGGGTTTGGGCTATGGTTAGAGTTAGGTATGGTTAGGGGTGTGGTGTTATGTTTGGTTGTATTTAAAGTTAAAAATGAGAGTAATGTATGGAAAATAGTTATATTTAGGCTAATTGATAGCTTTAGGAATAGGTTAGTGTTGGAGTTAGTGTAGGGTTAGGTTTTATATTAGTGTTACAATTATGATTAATGTTTAGGTAGTTCTGTCAGGGTTAGATTTGGTTTTTCTGTGATCTTAATTATAAATGAAAGTTATATTTTGGGCTCTTGTTTGCTTTAGGCTAATTGTTCTTTATAAGAGCAGCCTAGATCCAGGTGTAGTACAGATAGAATGAGAATTTAAAATTAAGGGTTAAAGTTAGGGTTATGTTTTGTAGAGGGTTTAGGTGTTAGGCTTCATCTGTGCAAAAGAGAAAATTCAATTTATGTATTGGGTCCTTGTTAAATTTATGCTAATTGGTAATTTTAGTCCTAGGCTACAATTAGGGTTATTATAAATGTACAAAGGACTATTTCTCAGACTATATTTATGGAACTTTCCTTGTTAAGTAAACAGCTTAACAAATAAGCAGCTTGCAAATTAGAAAAGCAAATTGAAAATTCTTTATATCGACTGAATATTGTAGCAGCATATTGTGTACCACCTGCTCCTACCTGAATTTCCTAACATTGATGCAAAGGTCTTTGCTAACATTTGTAACACAACAAAGGGTTGCATTAGTAAATAAATCTGGGAACTGCTATTTAACCAAAGTAAAATCAATTTAACTTTAAAGTTTTATACCTAAACTGAAAGAAAACCAGTTGAATATTTATTATATATGTGTGCATATATATGTAGGCATATATGTATGTGTGTATGTATATATATATATATATATGTATATATATACAGGCAGTACAGGTCACAAATTAGAATACCACATCTCATGTCCCTTCATTTAATCTTGGAGAAATTACTTAATTTCTTCAAAACTCACTTTCTTTTTTTTTTATTAATTTTTATTAGTGAGACACCATGAGGTACAGTGGTAGACTTACAAATTTTGTGCTTGGGTTTCAATTATACAATGATCAAATATCCATCCCTCCACCAATGCCCATTTCCCACCATCACGGATCCCAGTATCCCTCCCACCCCCATCCCCCCCATCCCACCCTTGCCTCTGTGGCAGGGCATTCCCCTCTGTTCTCTCTCTCCTTTCGGGTGTTGTGGTTTGCAAAAGAGGGCATTGAGTGGCAATCATGTTTTGTCTATAGTCTACTTTCAGCATGCTTCTCCCATCCTGGGAGGATCCTCCCAACACCCTTTATTTGGTGCTCCCTTCTCTATCTGAACTGCCTTTTCCCCTAGCATGAATATCTCACTTTCTTTTGAAAAATATTCTGACTTTCTATTCTAGTGATCTTATAATTCTCAAGGTCTCACCCTTATGCTCAGTAAAAAGGTCACTAACTCTCAAAATTTATTTGACTTGAGAATGTTTCTCATGCAGCTTTACGTTCTGAATAATTTTGCACATTTATGCTTTGTTTAGGATGAATACATTTGTTATTCAAGACATTTTTTACAGAGTTACAGTGGAGTCTTATGTTCCAAACAACTTGTATGTTTCTTGTACAGCTAGATCAATCCTCTGATGGAGATGTGGGAACTTTTAGAAAGAGGATCAAAGTCACATGTAGTAATAATTGTGTCAGCTCTAGTAATGCGGATAAAGACACTGCTGACAATAATTACATGAATCCCTCACCATTAAGATTCAGCAAAGTGATTACTGTTTTGTCTTGGTGTCAATTTTTTTTCACAGACAGTGCTCCAAATTTATCTTACTAATGTCAGATAGTTCCTTGCTTATCCGGTTTCCACTTTTGTTATATGGATTCTAGTAAGCTACAGTTTTATAACAATACATCTTTAAATCAGTCTCTTTGTGATATCTACTTTTTGTGTCTGCAGTCATTTTTTCCATTCTTCTATGACTCTGCTTCAATGCTGGTTTGGAGTTTATGTACCATAGTAAGCAGCTTTAGAACTCTGGAGGTTGAATGAGTATAATGAATTGACTACTGAATGAACTCTCTATTTGTTGGGATGCTCCTCAATGCTCACACTCCCTTTAGGTTCATGGTCTTAATGCTCAATGTCTATCCAAAGGAGAGACATCATTACCCAGGTGGAGAGATAAGGTCAAAACTTAGATTTTTAGTTCTTGATTTGGGGGTTCTATAGCAAGAGAGTGGATGAGTGGAGAAGTCTTCTTACACTGTCAAGATAGCTTTCACAGATGAGTTTCACAAATCAACTGTTGTTCATAGTAGGCTCAGAAAATTAAACCATGTGAAAAAATTAAACCAGTCTTTCAGTTTGGGATTTAAACTTACTTTGGCCAGCAGCTACCAGCCATCTTCTATTAAAATTTAAATTAATAAAATTTAAAAACTAAAACTTCAGCACCTTGACATTTCAAATGCTAAATGACCATATGTGACTAATGATGTCAATATCCAGTGACAAGTCCTCATATTCCTGCTTCTCATAAGGGTTTTTGGAGAATAGCTTTACCATGTTTTGATCCATCAAAAAAAAGGATTGTGAGCAAATGGATTTGGTAAATGTTGCATATGACATTTCCTGTTGAGCATTCATAATATACACTACAATATAGTAAATAAATCCTTCATTAAGGACATTGACCTAACATTGCTTTAAACACAATTCTGAATTCATTTCCTTATGGAACTCTCTGTCATGTTGCACTCATTAACAGAGTTCTTTGCATTGGAAAATAAAAGATTCAGATACGATCAGGTTTTCCTTGATACATTATTGTAAATCTTTTTTAAATCATTTTTAATTTTAATTTTTTAAAATGAGATATGCAGTTACGAAATTGTTCATGATTTGGTTTAAGTGGTAATAATATAATGTTCCTTGAAATGTCAACCAAAGTTAGAAGAGCTTTTGTGCTCCTGATTCATGATTGCTGTATACTCTGCAGCTGAAAGGAAGGACGAAAGCATGCAATCTGTTGTTATTTAAATGGTACTGGAGGATATCATGTTAAGTGAAGTATGTAATAAAAATAAACACAAATAATGGATGGTCTCACTTACCTGTGGTATGTAAAATAATAGGACAAGAGAATGAAAGGTATCAGAGGAGGATACCTAGATCCCAGAACTAAGGACAGAGAAGGGAAGAAACTGGGCAGGGGTTGGGATGGAGCGAGGGTACGAGGGTGGGCAGAAATAAGATGAGGCAGATGGGAGGTAACAGGGGGCCACAGGCATGGGCCTTGGACACATAAATGGTGTAGGTGTGTGGTGTATCTCTATAAATGAACCACGGAACCAACAAAACTGCAGCATGAGATCCAAACCCCAGCAACCAAACTTAAAAACGTTGCTGTCAAAAAGCCAAGCTGTAGAGTGGAAAAGCATCTGGGAACTTTGGCAAAGAGAAGCGAACACTTGTGATTGGATTGGTGGTGGGACATTGCACGCCTGAAACTCAACTGTGAATAACTTTGTGGATCATAGTGCTTTAATAAAACTTTTTAAGAAAGTGTTTCTTCATTGCATAGAAACTCTCACTTTACCCAAGAGGTGCCCTCAAACATTTTGAGGTCCAGAGGGTCTCCCTGGATGGTCCCGTCCAGAAGGATGAGAGAGTGGCAGCTGGCCATGGCAGCGCACAGAGGGCTCCAAGGCAAGACCTTGCCTGAGACAAAGCTGTGGACCTGCTGGAAGCTGAGAGAGAAGACAAGGAGTGAGGCCAATCAAAATCATGTGTAGCACTAAAACATAGTACAATAGTTTGGGTCCATGCCTAGCATGCACCTGATTGACATTCAATTCCCACAAGAATGTGGTGTCCCAGGGATCACTGGAAGCAGCTCTAATGCACCCCAAAAACCACCAGATTCATCCCTGGAGTTCCCTGAGCCCCAACAGGCTTAGAAGGTACTCCCCGGCACCATAGGGCCCCAGCAGGGTACCATCCTTTGCATTGGGCCACCAGCCAAGTTAGGGTTGATGGTGGGTTCCTTGTGACTCCTGAGCACCACTTAATGCTCTCCCCCACCTCCAAATCATTTTCTATACCTGGTTCCTGAAATATTACTCAAGTAGAATTTCAAGTATATCAAACCTCTGTGCTGAAAACATTCACTAGTTCCTCATGCTGTACTTGGTAAACTTTAACCTCTTGAACTTGGTATACAATGCCTCTCTGTTCCAGTTCTATATTACCTAATAAATACTCTCATCCCACAGATGAATGTTATTTATGCACGACTTCTCTGGAGCAAACCGAAGCTGTCTGCAAGGGATTTTCCTACCCTTGAGCCCTTGTTCACGTGAGTTACTTGATGTATAATCAAAATATGCTGCCTGCAGATTGCTGTTTATGAAATCCTCCTTAGAGTTGGATGTGAATTACCCTGTCGATGGTTTGCCACTGGTCAATCAATACTCTAATTTTGGAGTACAGAAAACAGTTGTTCCATCAGAACGCTTAGTGGCAGTACTGTGAGAGGATTTTTAGACGACTAGCTAATGAGAAGGCCAGAAAGGGAAAACCATTCACCAGTGTGGGTTTTTTGTATCGCAGGTAAAAGTATGCTTGGAGGCATGGGAGAGACTGTACAGCAGGCAGGGCATTTGCCTTGCATACACCCAACCCAGGTTCAATCTCAGTACCGATCGGGTCCCCAGAGTGATCCCCTTAATGCTGAATCAGAAATGATCCCTGAGCACCATTGGGTGTAACAACAACAATAACCACAGAATCCAAAAATCAAAAGTACATAATGGAAGTTCTAGTCTTACTTTACGTTTTATTATTTTAGTGAATTAGTGAATTTAGTGAATTAAAATAAAATGAATTGCCAACTGACAAAGAGTGAACCAACACAGATCGTCCCAACATGCCACCTCCACAGCAGAGCCTGGCAAGCTCCCCATGGCACACTTGATATGCCAAAACCAGTAACAATAAGTCTCACAATGGAGACATTACAGGAGCCCGCTTGAGCAAACTGATGAACAACGGAAGAACAATGCTACAGTGCCTCAGTGAATAAAGCAGTTTTTGTTTTTTGTTTTGTTTTGTTTTGAACCATTCTCTGCCAGCGTTCAGGGTTTATTTCTGGCTCTGTTATCTGGAATCGCTCCTGGCAGGGCCTCCAGGACCATATATGGTGTGAAGAACTGAACCTGGGTGAACTGCATGCAAGACAGGTTCCCAATCCACTGCAGTATCACTCTGACCCAGTGAAGTAAAATAGTTCTTTTCAAAGAAATTTGCTTAGGGAAATGGAGGGACTGGGGAGATAAAAAGAGAGAGGAGTTTATGCATTAGAGGAAAATAACTCAGGCTTCACCAGAGAGAAAAAACTGAGGGTATAGATTTCAGGTCTAGATGTCGGCCAATCTTCCTGGGGAGGAACGAGTTCTAAAGTTAAAGAAAGGAATACACATCTCAGGTTGAGAAGAGGTCCAGTATTGGGGTGTAGAATGAGCCGTCCTTACCTCCTAAAGAGGAAATAGTGGTGAAGAGTTGTGGACACTGTGTTGGGGGGGGGGGGTGTGCAGTCAATGTGTACAGCATTTGCAAATTCATCCCAGTTCACTTAACACTATTGAAGCCATCTTACCTAAACTGTAGCACTGTCCTCCCGTTGTTCATCAATTTTGCTAGAGCGGGCCCAGTAAGGTCTCCATTGTGAGACTTGTTGCTACTGTGTTTGGCATATTGAATACATCACGGGTAGCTTGCCAGGCTTTGCCGTGCAGGCGAAATACTCTCAGTAGCTTGCCTGGCTCTCTGAGAGGGCCGGGCCGGCCTCCTGCAAGGCAAATGCCCTACCGCTGTGCTATTGCTCCAGTTCTTACCTAAACTATTTTTATAAATTGGTGTACGTACGGATTCTAAAATATTTGTCAGTAAGCCCTTTGGCTTTATTCCCTGAAATTCCTGGCTTGGACATTCAACCTCAAAAACTCATTTTCTCCTTTTCCAGTGAACTGGCTCAGTTTACTTTTCACTCTTCCCATCGTAAAACTAAATGACATTGTATCTCATTATTTCTATTCCTCTCCAAAACTTCAGTTCTCTACTCTGGCCAATAGATACTCTGCTTGTTTGGACAAAGGTCTGGATGCTCAGGACCTGACTCCGTCTCCATCTTGAATAGCCTCTACATGATATTTGTGCCCTCATAGTAATCCTTTCATGGCCTATGTCACATGTTAAGGCTGGGCACAATTGCATCATTTTATTTGCCAGCACACAAAACTTATGAGGGAGAAGAACAAGTTCTTTCGGGGAACCCACCTGGTTCCCCCACCACATTAGTCTCCCAGGAAGTCTTTACAGTTTTTAATTAGGCACAGCCTGAATTCACTCTTTGGTGTTCTGCCTCATTCATTCAGTTCCTTAATCATTTGGCTCATTCCATTCCATTTTTCATATGGAGTCTGAAGGCCCACTTTCCTGTCTACTTCCAAACTTAGAACTCATTTAACAAGTTAGACTAATTTTACACTGGTTCCAGCTAATTATTATACATATTTTATGTAACATTCATTTCCCGACACTGGAAAGAAGGATTTCAATGCCACCAATTCCACAGTACATCTCCACTGAAGGACCTACCAATTGTCAGCAGTGGGGACAGTTCCCCAGAGGTCCAGTCCATCTTCTGTAAGAGTGCCAGTCTAGGAAAAGAAACATAATTGGTATTAGAACAAGATTTAAACTTTTAACTGTGATTAATACAAAACATAATTAATGGAAAAACAAAGCTCTCAAGAAATCGAAGTACAGCTGGATTTCCAAAACCTTTGCATGCGTCAAATTTTAAACCAAAACAATGTACCTGAAAGGAAGATTCAGTAGGTGATGTATGATTCCCAAAAGACCATGTTGATAATCAGACAATTATTGACAATTATACCACTATGCAATATTTTGGGTTTTTTAAAAATTTATTTTCTGTGAAACACTTGTTAAGTGAGAAAGGTGCAGTGGTTGAAAATCCTAAGCAAACAACTCGAGTTTGACTTTTCAGTGGGCACCTGCTGTCTTCTACAGCAGGGTTCAGATTTTTTCCTTTCTTTCTAAGGATATTTAATTCACAGTCTGCCATCTGGTTCGGAGCAATTTTCTAAAAATATGGGTGACAGGGTGACTGTCCAGATTGATAATGAAATGTTGATAAAGGGCCTTGGGACTATAGAGAGTAATGAAGTGCTAATAATAAATATTAATTAATGCTTGTGAATGGGTTTTATTGTTAGATCAAGAGTAAAAAGGTTGGGAGATTTGATTTGCTGTATTATGGAAGAGAATCTGTCAGATAATATAACAGAGAAGGCAAAATGGAACTAAATACAATCATAGCCCTTTTAATTTGCTCATTGCTACATAGTTGATCATTAATTATAGACCTCGGAGTCTTTTTATGGTAGAATCCTCACTCTGCTTAACACCAAGCCAGAGTTAGACACAGGCAACAGCTGCTTCTTCATTGTCAGGGCAGAGAGGAACGCTACTAACAAGCGCCAGGGAGTATCATTTTCAACACTGACATCCAGATCTTTGACACTATTTTTTAAGGCCATCTCAATATAGACGCTAAAATTTCTAGTTTTTTTATCAGATGGCATCTTCCATCATTATAGTGCATAGCATTAACATAATGCTTTTACAGTGACGCGCTTACAGTGCTTTCATTTCTTACTACTGAGTAAGTGGGTAGAGACACTGGTAGGTTAGGGATAAAGTGTGCAATGTCAGGATCATATTGCGTCTAGGTTGCAAAAAAAAAAAATGAATGAGAATCCAGCCATCTGGAGTCTTCCACTAGACCACAAATGTTAAATGAATTCTTTAAAGCATGTGGGAGTACAAAACTCATACCAAGGTTATGGATTAAAGCCGAAGTTTTATTGCTTCTCTTCCTAAATAGCCAATGTGCTTGAGGTGAGTTCATGCTTGATGAACAACAACAAAACAAAGCGATTTGTTTCCTTTTCCTGTACCTCCATTTGTAAGGAGGCCAAGTTCCGTGTTTAGACTCTAAATCCCCTTGAGTTGTTCTATTTCAAAAAGAGTTAGTGACTTAATTCAAACCGAAATGTTTCCTTGATGATCCGATTGTGATTTCAAACATCAATATTTTGAACATGGAAACAGATAATGCCACAGTGAAACAGAAATGGGACCATATTATTTTTACTCTATGTGAAAATGACCCTTACGCAATAAAAGTATTGTAAATTGAAAGAAAACTAAATTATAGTTGAGGTTCTAATGGGAATAAGATTGAAAAAGAAATCTTAGCATAAAAAAATAACCTAGGTTTGGGCTAAAATGAATAGCAAAGTAAAAGGGAAATTGCTTTAGAGAACTTATAACAAAGCAATATAAGCTGAAAAAATATATATATAGAAACAAATATTCTCAGAATCCCAGTGGTGAATATCTTGTAAGTTAAAATAGTTAGATGGAAGTTCAATTAATCGTAAAGTACCTTATGTCAACATCAAATTGATATTGTTATAATTTTTAAAAAGCTAGAAATAGACTGAGAAATAGCTATCGTTTAGTCTTTATTTTTAAGAATCAAATTAAGGATTAAAATTTCCATTTTTCCACTTCCCAATCAAGAGTTCTTTGCACTCAAATATGTTTTCAGACCCATTCAGAGTTTAGTGGACATATTAAGGAGCATTCTTTCTGATCTTCAGACAAAGGAACACATGATTTGCAGAGAGAAAAGCTTTCTACAGAAAGTCAAATAAATGTCCTCTTATAAAGAGAGAGATTGAAAATAGATGATTAGGTCATGAGTATATTTCATAAAACTCCCTCCTACATTCTAGCACAAGTAAGACTGCTGAGTAAATAATGGGGATACTTAGGAGAACACAAGGGGTTGTTATCTGGGCCTGAATAGAGAGTGAAGTTCATTTTTAGTTCCCTGTATTAGCTTCTTATTGGTGATCACTGAGGACTTTCTTGGCCAGAGGAAAGAAGGAAAGAATAGAAATGCAATATCCTAAGAGCTATGCCACTTCCAACTTTGAACCAAGAATTGCTAAATATTCTCCTGATGTCTCTCTTGTGCTTCTGCACCCATCCTTCGTTGTTCAGTACAATGCGTGAGTGAATTCTTCAGCTGCTTCCAAGGAAGTTCCTGCTTTATCCCTATCTCCCTGCCCTCCCTTCTGAGCAATTTCTGCAGATGGAATAAGCAAACAATAAAACACACCTACAAGACTGTCGTTGTCCTTCTTTTAAAAATGAGAGGTGCAACAGCCCTGGTCCAGAGACTCCCATTTGAATCCCAAAATGGATTAGTGCCCCACAAAGATATCTCTGGAACCTAACTATTTACAATCTAGGATTCCAAAAGTGTGCAGCCACAAAAGCGGCTGCACAAGCTCTCATGATATTCAAGATGAGCAATGAAAAATAATTTATCTAGCTTCTGCCTGTGGCAGGCAGGATTGAATGGCAGTGGGAAAATTTGAGCAAAACATAATGCCCAAAAGTAGAGGGAGAGTATTGGGGAAATTGACTTCCATAGAAGCAGGGTGAGGACTGGGATGTTGGTGTTTGTTGAAGGGGGAGGGTTTAGGGTGTGTAGGGGGATAGTGGGGACATTGTGGTGGAGGGATGGATGTTTGATCATTCTATGACTGAAACTCAGACATGAAAGCTTTGTAACTGTATCTCACGGTGATTCAGTTAAAAAAAATATGAGGGGTACTCCCATCATTATTCATGATGAGGTCCCAATCCTTAGTTTGGCACTTGAGGCCCTGGGTTACTGGGGGTCGTCACTCTAGCTGCATTTCCCACCAAAAAGGCCACAGCCTTGTCACACCCTTGGTTCTACTTCCTGCCTGCAACAACTTCTCCTCCTGTTGGTCCTGAACTGTTTGCCACTGATCCTGGGGCCCACTCCAACAATCAAAGTCACAGTTCACTAGTAAAAACACCTCCTCACCCTTGGCAGATACTGGCATCCCCCCATCTTTGCTCATTTTTCTGGAAAGAGTCATCTAACATAATTATGGCTGTCTCACTTTCATCTTATCTGCTTTCTCAGCTAGACTGTAAATTTCCCAAGAACTGCAAATAGCTTATTAATAGTGCTCTCTGCCAATGGCAGTTAACTAAAATAAGTTATAGATATTCTTTTTCCATTTTTCAAATGCAAATCAGCAGAAGACATGGAGAAACTGATCAGCCACACCATATCACTTCAATGTAACAGGGAGGACAAATCTGACCACTGCTGGTCAGCAAGAAGAGAGTCCTGGTAAAGTCTCTTCGGACCTGTCCTGCAACAGTGCTCCTCCCCATATGTAGGTCCTCCTCTCCTATCACCTCTGCAGGGACCTGTACAGAGATAGCCTTCCTTTGTCCTGAGTCCCGACACCCTGGGGAGTGAAGAAAGAAGGGACCAGAACACAAAAGAATATCATTGTCCAGGCCCTCCTGTTTGTACGAGAAGCAGAGAAGGAAACATGAATATGTGCACAAAACACATGCCAAAGCTCCTCAGGGAACAGAAATGTTCTTATTTTTCTTCTTAAAAGATAGATCGAAAGAGTCATATAGAAGTGTCCTGAAAAAAAGTCATGTAGAGGTTGTTACAGTAAGAAATGTTTTGAGGCAAATAAAAGGTATACAAAAATATTAAAATTTGGGGGGAAGGAATTCATAATGTGATGGCATAACCATCTAGAACTCAATGAAGTGGGCTTCTCAAATGATCTTGCGCTAACTCATTACACAACCCTCTCTGACTTCAGTTGCCTATTTCTGGAAAGGAAGGAGGTGGATTAGACATTAGATGAGAGAACTCTGCAGTCAGTGCCTTGAAATCATTCGACTCCAACCTGGAAAGTTTAGCTCATACTTTGTCAAAGCACACGAGGTTTATTTGCCCACACATATTGATTCTCTGTGGGGAGATACAGAAGATTTTCTTTTTCTTCAGCCTCTTCTGGGCATACACAATGCTCGTGGTCAGGGCAGCTGGCAGCACAGGAGGGACGGTCACAGTGAGAAGGAGGAGGGCCATAATCGCTGTATCATTTGGAGGGATCTGAGAAGGGACAGAGACACAGGTGAACCTCGCAGAGCAGGACAGCACCTTTCTGGCATCAAAAATAAAAGACAAAGGAGACTACAACATCAAAAGTGGTCTGACAGTCTGAATACTGTCAGTGTGCAGGTTCTTTTGTTGGGGCTGAATGTCCCATTGGCTATACGAAGAGATAAAACAATGTCTCCCACTGAAGATCAACAGAACCTCAAACTCCTACATCAGGGCTACCTTTCCCAGACTTTGCTTCTCACCATTTATTGCTCTCTTCACCCAGACCATGCCTTCCTTCTCTTCTCATCACTTTATCCTGGATGCCCAGGGTACAGGAGGAGCCATGAGTTGTAACATTTCAAACCAGGTACTTGACTGTTAGCTTATAGATCTCTATCCTCTGCAAACTTACAAACTCTGTGTGTAGTGGCCAGGATGAGGTCCTCTGGGAAGTCATCTTTGGATTCATACTATTCAGCTGCAGATACAGAGTCTATACCTGTTTCTGGCAGCCAGGAGGTTGTTCAGCACGAGTGCATTTGGTAATCTGATATAAACTATGATCAAGATTCTTCCATGAGCTGGAGAAGTAGCTCAATGGGTCTCCATCATTCTTTGCCTGGGTTTGATCCCCAGAATTCCATGGTTCCCCAAGAACCACAAGGAGATGTCCTATCCCCAAGCACAAAGTCAGAGTAACCCCCAAACACTGAGGTGTAACTCAAAAAAAATAAAAGACTTCCCCATGATCTTCCCCTTTTGTGGACATCATTTACCACAAGGAAGTTGATCATAAACCTGCATCATTCTCACAATCACTACTGTATTAAGTTGCTTGGTGTCTTACTTTTTAAAGATACTCCTCTCAACAATCTTAGGATATAAATATCTGTTGCTTTCTATATGTAATAAATCAAAAGACATGCTTATATAATTAACGAACTTGCCCAAATCCAAATGCCAATGAAATATGGGTCCCTGAACTCTAGGTCATCTAACTCCAGTGTGTTATACTGTTCTCAGATGATCACAGCCACAGGAAGGTTCACAGAGATACACAGAATTGAAAATTTAGGGATGATGGAAAAAAATACAAGAATTGCTTGTTTTTGCTTTTCACATGTTCTAGATAGCAATGTCTCTACCTCTATAATCCTACTGAGTTTCATGGAATTAAGTGTGAAGTTAGCTACAAAATCCCCCTTTGGACATTAGAAACACAAAAGCAAGTTATGGATCCCATCTAAGTTGATCACAAAATCCATCAGGTCCTGTTGGATCACAAAGATGTGATCACAGAGAAGTTTTGACCTTAAGAAATGGACCTGGCTAATCCTGAGCCAATACAGATACAGGCAGCTGAAAGCTCTGACCCACCAGAATATGGTCTCTGTGGTTAGTCTTAATTACTTTGGTATGAATTTGATGTCGAGTTCTTCTCATCCTTCACTGTCACACTTTCTCATCTGCAAAATGAGCTATTTGCATGTAATCTCAGTGCTACTGATTCCCAGAGAAATTTTCATACTCCAACAAATTCCACTTTTTCTGGCACCTTACTCTTATCAGAATCTGTACTACTCTTGTGAGCAAGTTCTGCCTCTGCTCTTGATTATCCTAGAAATGCTCCCTGAGGCTCATTTAAGATTGAAAAGACTACTCAGAGCTCTTCTTCTCCTTTAAATGACAAAAGAAGTGTTGAACTTAGCTACTCCTTAAAAGTGCTTCATTGAACTTTTACTGACCACATAGGGCAATTTATATATATATATATATATATATATATATATATATATATGTATATATATATATACAAAAACTGGAATTAATTAAATAATGGTTTGTTTAGTTTGTTACATGAAATAAAATATGAAATGTATTATCTCTGCATACTGATCACACTCCCAAGTATTCAATACGTGGCTAAGAAAATGGACAGTACATATAAAGCATTTCCATCATCTAAAAAAACTCTTTTAGAGAACACTGACTAATAATGTTAACAATAATGAAAAAACACTCATAATTGCATCTACTACTTTTAAAAACATATCCTTTTGAAATGTTATCATCCCCAATACTTACCCCATGGTACAGGTATACACCTAGAGCATAGAAAAATCCCAGGACTCCAAGGAATGCCAGGAACACTATAAATTTGAAAGCATCACTATACAGCTTGAAGTTCAGAGGCCGGGGATAGAGAATGGATCTCACCAAATCCCCTTTAGCTGTATTGTACCCTACAAGAAGAGAATCACAGGTAGAATAAGATCTTTACTACAGTTCCCTCTCAGATCAAACATACATTACACTGAACTAAAGATTGCTTAAGAAGGTGATTTGAATACGAAGATAGTACTGTTATGGCATATGTGCTTACAAGTCACTGGGAATAATAAAAAATTTACTGAAACTTAATCAGTTTCTTTTTCGCTGTTAGTCTAAACTAAGGCATGGTGATATTGTATCTACTGTAATGTGCACTGGATTTGCAGAAGAAATCCAGGATGGGGTAAATACAGAGAGCGGGAACAGGATCATGGAAGGCATTGGTCAGGTACGTGAGGTGAAAGGACAGGACTAGTATAGATAGTCATGGAGGTTTTTGAGCACTGTGTACTGTGTATGGACTCCTTCAAACTATGTTTTAGTAATGTGAGTGGGGTGACTGAGATGCAGGTTGGGTAAAGGATAGAGAGAAAGTTCAAAGAAAATCATCAAAGGTATATTTCTGTTGGAATAGTTTAGACAGGAGATGATACATGAAGATCAAGACAACATATTAACCCTGCAGATGAAGGAGAAGAAGACAGAATTCAGCAAGTATTTATAGAATTAATAGAATATGATAGTATTTGGTGTAAGAGTGAGATATTGAAAATGATCAGAATCTAAGTAGATGGTGATACTGTTAACAGAAAAAGACAATATAAGGTGAATTTACTTTTAGACAACCTGACTCTGAAGTGTCTAAAGGTATTCAAGTAGAGATATCTAGTAAAGATCTTGAAACAAGAGCCCAGCAAGCAACTATTTTAAGGAAAGAAAGAAAGAAAGAAAGAAAGAAAGAAAGAAAGAAAGAAAGAAAGATCCTGTTTAAGTGATAACTGTTTTCTTAGTAACCACTTAGTATGTAGACAGAAAAAAAGAAACCTAGGGACACAGCCACTCAAAATTAGAATAACTTTTGCTTTTGTCCTTTATTTCATTCTTATACGTGCTTCATCATACATAAGAATATTCACGTTGATCTCCATTAGAGGAGGTAACTCAGACCCATTATATTCTGGCTGGAAATAGGTGTGGCTGTTATATAATGGAAACATGGCAAATTCTATCATATGCAATAGAACATTACTAAATCCAACTCACCCCATCTCCACCTGTGGACTACATTCCAAGCTAAACCTACAAACCTGAGAGATACTGGGGACATTGGTGGTAGAAAATGTACACTGGTGGAAGGATGGGTGTCTGATCATTGTATGACTGAAACTCAAACACGAAAGCTTTGTAACTGTATTTCACAGTGATTCAATAAAAACAAAACAAACAACAACAACATAAACCCCTACAAACCTGTTTGTAGAACAACTGCTCTCACTGGTTCTTGCCCAGAGGGTTTGACCTGGATAACTTCAGTCCCACAGAAAAGGACGTGTTTCCGGTAGTCCTCTAAACTGTGGAACTTCCAGCCTGTGGTGCTCTCCTCATGGGGCAATGGTGTTTTTGTAACAGGAATACTTTCTCCTAAAGACAATGGTATTTTATTGTTTCTGTGTGAACTTGGATGGTTATTTGAGGTTGGTGCTTAGCAACTTCAGGAAAATGTTTAAATGGAGACTAATCCAGGCTTAAGTTCATCCCTTGAGTTAAATGACTTCTTGAGGTTGCTAGTGATATAAATAGTGATAATCCTAATTATATTTCAGATATTTATTTGAATTATGCTTTTCTTTCCCACACCTGAATTTTTGCAGTGTGTAATTTTAAAAGGAGCCTGTTTTAGCAGAGCTGTCATGTATATCTCAAAGTGTTCTTTAAGCCCAGCATTATTCTAGGTAGTGAGGACGTTCTAAGAAATGCACATAGTTATTATTTGCTTTCATACATTCGTTGATCTCTCATTCATGCAGTTATTCAGCAAATATGTTCAGTGCTTACTTTGAGTTGGATACTGACTAGATATTGGAAATATAAATAAAAAGGACAGAAATAGTGCCCACACAAAGCTCAGACATCCAGAAAGGTAAATAATGGCAAATAATTAGAAACAATAAGGTACATGTTTTGGAGGTAAGATTAAGGAACGATTCCCTAAACAATTAATAACTGTCAATTTGAAAGGAGACTAAGACCACCCAGATTGAGAAAGAAAGAACAGGACATTGAATGTGAAGGTAGAAGTAATACTGGAACCACAGAGACAAGAGAGAACTGGTGTTTGTTGGAGAAACAGAAACTAATACATAACAAGATAAAGAAAATGGTCCTACCCTTTTGTTAAGTCACAGATTTCCTTGCAGACCATCTTTGGTCCCTTCTATTTCTATGGAATGATTTCCCCAGACCCTAATTCCTGCCTTTCCTTATGAGTTTTCTACATAGAACCATCCCTGTGTTTATGGCCCAGGGGCTTCACTGACAATTCATCTGACTCTAGTTAGTTGCACTGACAAAGGATTAGCTGTGATTAATTCCTTCTCTGAAGTGCAAACAGTCTCCAGATAATTTGAAGTTGCGGTGGAACTAATCTTTTTTTTATGAATAAGTACCTCAACCACACTACCCTCACCTCCTGAGTTAGAATAAACCTCCAGTCTTTCCTCCTGGGTTTCTCCCTTCCATTCATATGGCTCCATGCTTATTTCTGGTACCAGATATGGGTGTTTTTCCTTTTCCACAACAAGCAATTCTACCATACCTGCTGGTCATCCTATAATTTCACTCAATTAAATGCAATTGCTAACAGCAACTGACCCTACAGGTTATGAACCACATTACTCAAGACTGCATCCAATAAAGAGTAGACCTGGTCTTCAGTAATAAGCTTGGCACTGGGGCAGGGGTGAGGAAGATAAGTTAGAGAAGGGAACACTAGAATTATGAAAGAGGTAGGCTTTGGTGTAGGAAGGAGGCTGGAATATTGGTAAATTGTAGTAGGCACTGGTGAAGGAATTAGTGTTGGAACAATATATACCTGAAACTCAATCATGAATAGCTTTGTAACTTTAGAATTCATGGTGATTTAATTTTTAAAAAGGCAAAAAAAAAGAAATAAAAATATTGCTTCTTCCCAACATCAGATGTCAAGTATAAATCTGAAATTCCCATAACCCCTTTCTCAAATTTAATTAACTTGCATGAATGGCTAACAGAACTTAGGGAAACACTTAGATTTGCCAGATTATTCAAAGATATGACAAAAGAAGCTAACAGTCAGATTAAGTGATGCACAGGGTGAGGTTTGAGAGGGTGCTGAGCACAAGAACTAACTTGTCCTTTTGAACAATTACAACATGCTTCTTGTATAAGGTGGGATTTACCAGTCTGGAAGATCTCCTGAATCCCCTAATATTGGGATTATAGATAGGCTTCCTTACAATAGCAATATTATACCAATTCCCAGTCTTTCTCTCATTCACAGAGAATAAACAGAAGTGGTGGACAGAAGGCACTAATAAGTCCCAGCTTTGAACCATGGCTTAGTCTGGGAACAATCCAGAACAAACTGGAGCTCACCTACTCTTGGCTCATTAGAGTTGAAGATGCTCCTCCTAGTATTTTTTCATTTATGAATTTACAAGGGTTTGGGGAGCTCTGTTCAAGGAATCAGGAACAGAGATATAACAATGCATGTATTTTCTATTAATACATATCTCCTAATGGGTCTTTCCCCTTCAGTCTACTTGTCCTGTTAAGTCGTCCCTTATCATTTCCAGAGGAATTTGATAAAATCCCACTTTAATCAACTTATTCTTCTCTCAAGATTCCTTATGCTTCCCCACTGCCAGTACCAACAAAGCTCAAACTCTCTTGTGGGCATCTCAATCTGAACATCTGTGACTGTCATTCCCAGCTCACACTGCAGAGCCCCTCAGCCCCTTACACATCCTATGATAGAGTTCCACTCTCCAAATATCATTCTTCTTCATTCTCTGATGGACAAGGGGCTACTTTAGAGGCAAAGAAAATTGGCTTACACTTCAAAAAAATTTAGAGACAAATAGAAATATTAACAACACTTCCTGTCTCCAAGATTTTAAAAAAGGTAAAAATGAGTTTAACATTTCATCAGTCTTTCACAAACTGTTCTATTAGCAAGATTCTCTGTCATATTTCTAGTTTAAAAACAGTATGATATTGATTATAGTTATACAAATTTAAGTTTTATCTCCTCTCCTAGAGAAAAACTGTGGTTAAGAACATTAACATGTATAATTTCTGTCATTCTTGAAAAAATTCTTCATTTTCTGTTATTCTTCATTTTCTCCACTAAGGTGGGATTTACCAGTAACAGGTTCAAAATATATATATTTTTAATGCATGAATGAATTAAATAAGAATGATTACCCAGGTTTTACTATAATTGGTTTTACAAAACTAGTTTTCTACCATGATGCATTTTTCATACCTCAAGGTAAAAAAACATAAAAGATTTATTAGCGATCTTGAATATTCTTCAGAAAATTCCTCTTAGTCAAGTATTATCCCTTAAACAATGTCTTTATAAGAGTTATGGTGGGCTGGGATGATAGTACAGCAGGGAAGGCATTTGCCTTGCAAGCAACTGACCCGTGTTTGAATCCTCATACCCCATATGGTTCCCTGAGCCCTGCAGGAGTGATCCCTGAGTTCAGAGCTAGGAATTAGCCCTGATAACTGCTGTATGTGGCCCCAAATTTTTTTAAAAAGAATCACGTTATTTTTTGTATGGATACATAAGTTGCATTCTAAATGGCTTTGCAAAAGAGAGAACCTATTGACAAATTTCCATATCTTTGCACCTCATTATTTTGAAACCTGCCTTTGTAAAAAGGCAGACACTTAAAATAATTTCAAATGTTTTCCTGCCCTTGAATCATAGAATGTTAGTCCACAGTATAAACTTAGTGTGATATTAGGGAATAGATTACTGCACATACAGTTGATGGTATGGGGTTAGCAGGGATTTGATCAATCAGGGATGGAAGTCATTTGGCGCTAATATATCAGAGATGATTCTAAAAAGAAATGATTTTCCACTGAGACTATTCTCAAGTCTCTTTTAGACTATTCAGGTATTAACAAAGAGTCTCATGTCTTGGATTTTCTTGGAACTCAAAAAAATGGATTTGCCTAGAAACATGGGGGAGGTTAAGGAGGATGGAGAAGCTTCAGGAGGAAATGTTCCCATCACTCATTGTTCATTCGACTTCTGTTATCTGAAGATTCTGTTGCTATGAAATAAATTTTTCCTCCTTGTTCCCAGTGATCTAAATGTCTCTGTTGGTGACAATGTTGAAAATTGCATGTTACTTGTTTATTCTTATTTCTCGAACTACTAAACTTAAACTACTTGAGGGTAGGTAGGAAAACTTGGTGTTTCCTAACACATCACAGTATCTGACACAGATTGAAAATACGATTGAATTTTTGTTGACTAAATGAATGTAGCACTGTCCTCCCATTGTTCATCTATTTGCTTGAGCAGGCCCAGTAATGTCTCCATTCGTCCCTGTCACGTGCTAGTGTAGCCCGATGACATATTGGGGCTCTTTCAGTGTCAGGGGAATGAGGACCATCATTGTTACTGTTTTTGGCATATGGGTATGCCACGGGGAGCTTGCCAGGTTCTGCCGTGTGAGCGGGATATTCTCGGTAGCTTGCCAGGCTCTCCGAGAGAGATAGAGGCTTTTGGGGTAGCCTCTAATCACCTTTTACAGGTGTTCCCAGTCAGGCATATATGCGTGCATGATACTCTCAGTAGCCTGTGTTTATGAATGAACATGTTCATGAAAAAATAGAAGTAGAAATTAGAGAAGAGAATGAGATAAGAAAAAGGGAAGAAACAACATATCAATTGATTGGTTATAAGCCTTTCTATAGGTTACAAATATAAAATAACAACAGTGGGAGATTCCTGTGTGTTCTTCTGGGATCACTACATTTCATGAACATACATTTACAATAAATCATAAATTCTAATGAAAAGAGAGTGAGAGAAAGTGATTGTGGCAGAGTGAATGCCACTCCTTTCCTTATTATTTGTCTTTAAGATAATGAGGCAGTACAAACAGAGGTTCTGGAGAAAGCAAGTGAAATGACATGTGGGTTTGTTTTATTTTATTCAAAGAAATTTTAGCTGTCATAATATACGTCATGATGCACTTATGTTTCCTCTCTCCTCACTACACTGTCAGCTTCATGATGTTTAGATATTATTTACTGTCCACTGCTATACCCCAGTACCTAAGAGAGTGACTTTTATACAGTAAGGCTAGTGGACATTCATGGAATGAGAGGATTAATGCTAGAAAAATGAACTGAAATCTCAGCTTCACCACCTTATAGCAGTGTGGCCCTGGTTAATTATTTACCCTTTGTTGGTCTTATATTTTCATATTTTATATATTTTTTAGCTGGATTAACTATATGCATAAAATAGCAACTGGGACCTAATACTTATGAAAACTGCAAAAATTTAGCTAATGTGCCAAGAAGGAAAGTCAAAATAGTAATCAGTGTTCTGCATATTTTCTTTTGCTTCT